AGGATACAAGAAAAGATTAACATACTCGAAGATATTGAAGAACAGATAGAGGAATTATATGAATTAGAAAGTATTTATGACTCTGACGATGATAATAAAAGTATATATAGTATTGAGAGCTTAGATAGCAACCTCGATAATGATGAAGACTTTGACCAAGGACTTCATTCATAAGAAGATTTCGTCTATACTATAAGTAATCCATCATATCAGTATAACGCAGTTAGTTTTCAATTTTCCTCTTATAATTGTAAACAGTGCAACATATCTATTAAAAAAGGTCATTAGTGTGAAAACCATTATAAAACTTTATTATGCCATAATTGCTATACAAAATATAAAGATAAGCAAGAAGATATTTTAGTTGAATCTATAAATTCAATATATAAACCATCTAGTCTAATTCAATTCCAAGTAACATTAGAATTTAGAGAAAAATTAGTTCAAACCTCAGCTATGCTTGATACCGGAGCATCTAAAAGTATAATTCAAAAACATTTAGTCCTAGACGAAGCCTTAGTCAAGTTAAATTATAATGTTAATATGAGCCAGTATAATAATGAAAAACTTCCAATAACTCATCGTGTTCAAAACATTCATATATTAATTAATAATGAAAAGTTCGTTTTACCCCAGACTTATGTCGTTAATAATATCCCTAGCACCTATGATTTTATCTTAGGATTAAATTTTATAAACTCACTTACCGAAGGATTTATTTATACACCTACAGGCTTACAGTTTTTTAAGAAAGGAACCTTTATATCATCTAGCAATCCTTATATTCCTCAAAAAGATAAGGGAGCCATTACGTATGTTAATACTTTACCTATGACAGAAGAAACGACTGAAAATTTATTTGATGTATCCGAATTTTTAGAAGACGTTTCTGAAGCCTTAATGTTTCTTAGTCATCTTGATGAACCAAAGATTTTCCTTAATAATAAAGCTATATTAAAAAACCCCAAACTAAACATAGATAATCTCATAAGATTAGTTGAAACCACAGAAATTTTAGGAGAAGACCCCCAGAAACACTAGTATAAAAATAAAATTGAAGCAAAATTAAATATAATAAATCCTTTTATAACTATAAAGACACAAGATAATCCTTATACCTTAGATGATCAAGAAGAATTCCAAAGACAAATTAAAGAACTATTATTACTAAAATTAATAAGAAAAAGTAATAGTAGACATAGGAGTCCAGCTTTTATGGTTAGAAATCATGCCGAAATAAAAAGAGGAAAGGCTCGTATGGTTATAAATTATAAAAGATTAAATGATAATACCTATGATGATAGTTATAAAATCCCTAACAAAGATATTTTAATAAATCGAATCCAAGATAGAAAATGGTTTTCTAAATTTGACTGTAAATCAGGATTTTGGCAAATCCGGATGGCCGATGAATCCATTGAATGGACAGCGTTTACATGTCCTGAAGGACATTATGAATGGTTTGTTATGCCTTTTGGATTAAAAAATGCGCCACAAGAATTTCAGCGTAAAATGGATACTATATTTAATAAACACTTAAAATTCTGTTGTGTTTACATCGACGACATCTTAGTCTTCAGTCAAACTAAAGAAGAGCATAGAAAACATCTTGAAATTATATTCACTGAGTTCATAACACAATGACTCATTATAAGTAGTAAAAAGATGATATTAGAAAAACAAGATATTGAATTCTTAGGCTTATACATAAAAGATGGAACAATAGAATTACAATCTCATATTGTTAAAAAGATTCTAGACTTTCCTGATAAATTAGAAGAGACCAAGTTGTTACAAGCATTTTTAAGATTATTAAACTATGGTCGCAATTTTATTCCAAAATTAGGACAACTAGTCGGACCTTTATATTCAAAACTAGGAAAACATGGTCAAAAGTATTTCAATACCCAAGATATAGAATTAGTTAAGAAAATTAAATCTTTAATCTCGAAGTTGAAACCTTTACAACTTCCACTTGAAAAAAGTTATAAAATTATTTAAACAGATGCATCCGCTCACGGATGGGCATGATTACTTCTTCAACGACCAACAAAAGAGTCTTCCCGAGATGAAGAACAAATTTGTCGCCATACTAGCGGAACCTTTAATAAAGTACAATCTATTTTACCCTCAACAGATCTAGAAATTCTAAGAGTAACCAACTCTATTAAAAAATTACAGATTTTCTTTGATAAAGAATTTCTTATACGAACAGATTGTGATAATATAGTTAAATTTGCAAATAAAGCAAAACAACAACGGATGTCTGCTAAGCGATGGATTTCATTTATTGACTGCATTACTGGAAGAGGTTTTAAACCTATATTTGAATATGTCAGAGGAAAAGATAATTATTTAGCAGATATTCTATCTCGTTTACTTATCGATTGTTAAATTTTGCAGGAATGGAGATCACGAGCAACAATAGCTATAGCTTTATACCAGGCACTTCTAATCCTCTTTTAATTATCCAAAACCCAGCTCAATAGTTCCGCGCTAGACATAATCTTTTTCCTGACCAAAAACTTATTTTAGATAATATTTGGTTTTCTAGAAACAACCCCGATAGAACCCTCGTTAGAAATCTAAATACCCTAAGTGAATATTTTGTATCAACTAATACAACATATCAAAATTTACAAAAGGAGCACGAGATTCTTATATCTCACTATAAAAAGTTAAATTTAGCCTATCAAAGATCAACAGAAAACCCCACAAAATTAACTATTTCTGAACAGATAACTAATGAAGATGAAAATCTTCAAAAAGTTCAATTTTTGCAGGTACAAACCAAGTATGCTAAGCTTCTACCCCTCTTTTCCTCAACTTACAGAGAAATTCTAAGACAACAAGTTGAGCTCTTCCCTGATGATCTCAAAGACCTTATTCTTGAAGAGATTAAGTCTGATGGTCTCACAGAGTGGGTTGATATTCAAAACTACCTCAAAAATAACAGTCCACCCAGAGGAACCCGATATAACTACTTTTTCCTACGATTTATACAGATAGGCACCCAGATACCTATGTCCGTTATCTTGTTAGATGTAGATCCTATTTTCTTTATTCCTTTTGAAATAACCAAAAAAACCATTTTCTCTACCAAAACAACCATTTGTTATTTAAGCAAGCTATTAGAATTAGGAATGATCTACAGTGTCCCAATACCCAAAGATACTCCCTTAGAATATCTTAATTCCCTATGTAATTTTCCCAACCGATTAAACCAAGCCATTGCCTTCGAACAAAAAATAACCCAGAGTTTTATGCCAGAAAGTCCAATTCTCCTTCAAATCCACAGTATTCCCCCAGAATGGGTCAAAGATGGAGCGATAATTTTGGGACATCATCAAGTTTATATTCATTCTGATCCAACTGAAGTCAAGATTCTAACACGACATGTTGATTTCGCAAATAATTTTCGTGTTGAAATTAACCCCACTACCTTTAACAATTTAATGTACTATAAAGCTTATCGAAAAATTCACCAAAGCTACAATCCTGGTTTTAGATTCTACGATCATAATATCAATATGGAAATTTTTGTTAAAGCAAGAATTTCTCATGTCATTAAGTCTCCTCCAGAGATTGAGATATCCCCAAAAGTTGAAGAAATAATAAACGAGGAAAAAATGATGTTAGAATAGCTTGAACTGGCCTACAGAAACGAAGAAACTAGCTCACCAGACAGCACTGATGAATATCTGGCCCGCATGCACAGAGGAGATATCTCACCAACTAGCCCAACTGACAGAAATTTGGATAATATGCATGAATTTTGAGCAAAAAACAGATTATCTACAGTAAAGATAAAGGCAACTTCAGCATCCAAGAAAAAGTAGATCCTCAATAGTGTACAGATAAAAGCAAATCCACCGAAAGCAGATTCCCAACAGCAAAAGTTGATATAATTCTCCAGAAGACGACATCAACAGTCCAGCAATAATTCATGCCATCTTATCTCTAAAGCATCTTGAATCTCAACCATCCATGCGGCATCTTCGATCTCAACCGCTGATTCCTCTCTCTCCTCTGCTACAAAAGGAACCTCTCTGCTCAAATGAAGATCATCGAGTTTTAGATAAAACAAGCCTCGAACCATCAAGCATCCTAGCCTTCAGTTTCTAGTGTGTTTTCCTTTGTGATTTCCTTCATACATTTCCTTTGTAACATATAGTGTGAGAGTGTATCCATGTATAAACAGTGTGTAACTATGTATATATTTTCCATGAAATAAATCATCCAGTTTGTTCCTATTCAACAAATTTCTTTTCCTTATTTAGTATTTTCAGTACTTTCGGGCAAAAGACTTTTGTTGACAAATAGATCAAATCTATAGATTTTATTTAGCCAGACAATGTATATTCTAGAATTTTCACGTATTTCAACCAGTACACGCAGCCTTAGTTTAATTTAACAATTTCTTCTGTGAGTTGACTCGAACTGTTGGCTTGTTGGCCCGTTCTTTACCGGTGTTCAGGCGTTTTTACAGGGCGTTATCAGAGCGATATCAGGTTCGGCAGTTATTTCTGTAATTTAATTGTTAAATTGATTCTATGTTATTTTGCTTGCTTCTATTCAGTCGGATCCGTCTCAATTTTGGTATCAGAGCTATACTGTTTCGTTAAATATATTTTATATATGCGATCTTTTGTCTAAAGAAGTCTATAAGTCTTAATTAAGCTACTGTTTAGTAATATAAGTTCTTTTGTGGTATAAAACATAAAGTGGAATCCATTTTAGAGAAATATTCTCTAGGTCAATCCTTTTAGGGAAAATCAAGACTTTGTTTCCATTTTAGAGTAACATTTGAGCCTTGAGCCCATGTATTAGTAATTATCCCTAAAAATAATAATAATAAAAAATAAATAATAATAATAATAATAATAGTAGAAGTTTTGTGTTTCTAACCAATTTTTTTTTTTTTTTTTTTTTTTTTTTAAAAAAAAACTGCGATAAAAGTAGATATAACTTTGGTTGGGTTGAAAAACGTAAGGCGCGCGTTGGAGCGCAAAGTTACGGTTAATTTTGGGTACAAATCGTCAAAAACAATTCTTAGGAATACTAATAAGTTATGAAATTTTGGCTCAAATATCAACAAACTATGAACTGTACAATTTCGACTTGGAAGTGGACGAGGTCTATACTAGTTTCTGGATTTGAACAGGATAAAGTGGTATTGTTATGGTGGTTGAGAGGGAGAGAATGAAAGAGAGATGAGGAGGAGATATGGTAAGATTGATGATGGTGGGTAGAGCAGATAGTGTGTGAGAAACAGATTGTTTGGGGTGCTCACTGAATTTAGCATAGTTAACGAACTCTTTTTAATTCATTCAATTCTTTTCATTTTGGTTCGGCTCAGATTGTCTGGGCCTCGACTCTGAAGTTATGAAATCAAGGTTCGAATCAATCGTTCAAAATGGAAGCCTTGTCTTTCATCAGAATCTGAAGATAACCCAGTTCGGCAAGCGGGGTCGAATTGAAGAAGCTATCAAAATATTCAATCAAATGACTCACCGCAATATAGTCACGTACAATTCAATGATCTCTGCCTATGCGAAGAATGGTAGGATCAATGATGCTCGTTGTCTGTTCGATAAAATGCGGTTTAAAAACTTGGTTTCCTGGAACACCATGATTGCTGGGTACTTGCATAATGACAAAATTGAGAAAGCCAGTGAACTGTTTGATAATATGCCTCAAAGGGACCTCTATTCGTGGGCTTTGATGATAACTTGTTACACGAGTAAAGGAGATCTTAAAAAGGCTAGAGACTTGTTTAATCTGGTTCCTGATAAGGGGAACCCAGTTTGTTGGAATGCTATGATTGCAGGTTATGCAAAGAATAGACGATTTGAGGATGCTAGGAAACTTTTTGATGAAATGCCCGTCAAAGATTTAGTTTCATGGAATTCGATGCTTGCTAGATATACCCAGAATGGGGAAATGTGTGGGGCTTCAACATTTTTTGAGAAAATGGCAGCTAAGGATGTTGTTTCTTGGAATTTAATGTTGGATGGGTTTGTTGAGGCAGGTAATTTAGATTTGGCTTGGCGGTTCTTTCAAAGGATTCCTAACCCCAATGTTGTTTCTTGGGTCACAATGCTATGTGGGTTTGCAAGGAATGGTCAGATTTCAGAGGCTCGGAGACTCTTTGACCAAATGCCATATGGCAATGTGGTCTCTTGGAATGCAATGATAGCAGCCTATGTCCAGAACTGCCAAATCGATGAGGCTATTAGGCTATTCACTGTAATGCCGGAGAAGAATGCTGTATCCTGGACTACCATGATTAATGGATATGTCCGTGTTGGTAAGCTTGACAGAGCGAAGGAATTGTTGGACAGAATGCCATACAAAAACGTTGGGGCCCAAACGGCAATGGTCTCAGGATACATACAAAATGGAAGAATGGATGAAGCTAGTCGGATTTTCAATCAGATAGGTACGCGAGATGTTGTTTGTTGGAACACGATGATTGCAGGCTATGCTCAGTGGGGAAGAATGGATGAAGCTTCGAATCTATTTAAGAAAATGCTCCAGAAGAACATTGTTTCCTGGAATACCATGATTGCTGGTTATGCTCATATGGGACAAATGGATAAAGCACTGAAGATCTTTGAGGAGATGGGAAAGAGGAATATAGTTTCTTGGAATTCTTTAATTTCTGGTTTTACCCAAAATAGGTTATATGAGGATGCACTCAAAAAGTTTGTGTTAATGGGACGGGATGGGAAGAAACCTGATCAATCTACATTTGGTTCTGGACTATGTTCCTGTGCTAGTCTTGCAGCCCTGCAAGTTGGAGAGCAGCTTCACCAAATTATAGTGAAGAGTGGTTATGTAAATGATCTGTTTGTCGGTAATGCCTTGATCACCATGTATGCCAAGTGTGGAAGGATCTTGAGTTCCCAGTGTGTGTTCAATGAAATTGACAGAATTGATGTTATATCCTGGAATTCGTTGATTGCTGGGTATGCCTTGAATGGGTATGGAAAAGTGGCGGTCAAACTCTTTGAAGATATGGTTGTCAAAGGGGTGGCTCCAGATCAGGTTACTTTTGTTGGGGTTCTGTCTGCATGTAGTCATGCCGGTTTAATTGATCAGGGTTTGAAGTTGTTTGAATCCATGACTAAAGAGTACTCCATTGATCCTTCAGCTGAACACTATGCTTGCATGGTCGACTTGCTTGGCCGAGCAGGGAGATTAGAAGAAGCCTTTCAACTGGTGAGCAAAATGAAAATTGAGGCCAATGCAGGCATATGGGGCGCTCTACTTAATGCTTCCCGCATACACAGAAATCTAGACCTTGCTATGCTTGCTGTAGAAAAACTTCTTGAAATTGAACCTCATAAGACTTCAAATTATGTACTATTGTCAAACATGCGTGCTGAGGCAGGAAGATGGGATGACGTTGAGAGGGTGAGGGTGATAATCAAAGAGGGTGGAGCAGAGCAACAACCAGGATTCAGCTGGATTGAGGATAAAGAACAGGTATGTGTTTTTCTCTCTAATGATGGATCACACCCCAGAACAGCAGAAATCTGTCATACATTGAAAACTTTAACAGCTCAGATGATGCATGCCTGACATCAAATATTTCCTTCTTGACTTGGGATCATTGATATGATCTTCTATATTAGGCATTTTATTCTTGTTTATTAATTCTTTTCAAGTGTAAATGTATTCTTAAGCTCTTGGAACAAATCATGCAGTTTATATAAGAGTAATTAAGTAATGCTTCCCTCCTGAGCGTAAATCATGTGTTTGGTTGGTGCTTGAGTGGTCTCTGTACAACAGAACTTCTGGCAGAAGAATTGAGAGACACTGCACGTATTATAATTGTTGATGGCGCAACTATTTTCAGTAATTATTGAGCATTCTGTCTTAGTACTTCAGTATGCAACTGATAAGGTTTCTTGGTAAATTTATACATTTATAGTATGAGCTCGAGTAGTGTTTATGCTGCTCTTGTTAATTTCTTTTGTTCCTTTCTGCTCCTTTATATTCGACATTTGTTTGTAGTTATTCCGGAGGATTTTTGTACTAATACAGAAACCAAACGGGTTGGTATTTGTATTATTTTCAAAGGGTTTGTGTGCAACTCCACTAAATCTTGTGACTACGATTCTAAAGGACTAAAGAATGAGATAGGCCCCCATCCCCCCTCTAAGAGATGAGCACTAAAAATTTTGAGGAAATAAATTACTGAAAAACAGTAAGATTCTGAGGAGATATCATGAGCTGTGATTCTGACTGAGTGCCTTTATATTTTAACCCAAGGTGGGTATATGTGGGGAGACTTGAAGCTTTTATGAAGTTGACCCACCAACTAGTATATACTCCCCTTAGTGGCCATTGTGGGATGAGAGTGTTGGGAAACGTGCAAGTTTTAAAAACTTTTCGAAGGATTTTGATTCATAGATCTTGATTCATCACATAGAGACAAGTTTTATGCAAAAATAAAAATATGATGTATCATTCAATTAACAGATTGAATACTTACATCAAAGGTCTGAGTAAACTTTTAAAACTTTCCTCTAAAGTGAATGTTCTCACTTATTGTAAATCCCTTAGCAAGATGCCTTCTTCTTGGATCTCCATTTTCTTGGTAATTGTTTTGCCTTTAGGAATCACTCATAAGCCTCCATGAATGACCTTGGAAAACTAGGCTTGTGGGAGCCTCCATTAGATGAGAACATAAACCCTAATTTTCTAGAGAGAGAAAATATATATTCCTTTTTCCTTCTACCAAAAATCACACCCTAAAATATACATAGACCATGTATATTTATAGGCAACATAAAAATAAAGAAAAGGAAACAACAAATCCTTCTCCATCTCTAATTCATATGTTTCAAATCTAATATGATTCCAATATCAAGTTGGGCTATGAGTGAGAATCCATTGGGCCTATTATTTTATTGGCTACAATGAATTAATAATTGGTCCGGTCCATGGACCCAATTCAATTAATTCATAAATTAATTTCTACTCCACTAAAAGAAATTAATTGAACTCCAATTAAATAATAAATAACCTCTAAGTCAATATTGCACTTTGACTCCTCTATGCATAATTAGTTATCGGATAAATAAAGCCATCAATCCGACTACTTAATTAATATATCTATTTTGGTACCTCTGATTATTTCTGACTCGATCACAATAAAACATTTGTTTGACAAAAATAATAATTTAAATAAATAAATATATAATAAATCATTTTGTCTAAAAACACACGAAGGCCTTCGAATTTACTTTGTGATCAACCATAATCAATACAAAATAAATACAAGTAGCAATGATGCAAATATTGAAAATATAACCCTATAACTATTAATTACATAACTACCCAAAGTGTCGGTCTAAGGATCCCGAAGAATCCGACGAGCAAATCAAAGTAATTATTAATTAATAAAAGAGTCTATACTTTTCTCATGCTTAAGAGTCAAATGCCATGATGGTGATAGGGAGTAATTGCATACGACGGCTCTCGCAATATATCTCAACCTAACGCGGATCCAGTTCAAGTCTTAATTAATTATGAGTCCATCCATAATTATGAACAATTTATAATTACTATTTATATATCATGCATTGATTGCCATCGCATACATATATATAAATATTTCTTGTAATTACATGGACATTATCAATTTCATAGTGAATCGAAATATAATACATTGAATTCACCAATTATATAAATTATAAATATTTCAGATATGTCAGGAACATATGTCACTATAATCCAAATAGGAATTTGCTATGCCAGGGCATATAAATCCCAACAGAGATATGGTTGTTTCCATGTCTGCATTGATAGCAAAAGCTTCAAATCTTTCACTTCTACAATTTGTTAGCAAATTATAGGAAGTGTTCCCTGTCCACCATATGCTGTCACAATGATGGATTGTACTTTTTAGTTCCTTCTTTAGTCTCAGAGGATCTTTAAAAGAAGCGGTTTTGTGAGGGACCCGAATCCTCTGTACTTGCCTGGTTGCCGTGGATGGTTGTGATTAAACCAGCAGCAGATCCTATTCTGTTTATGAGTAGGGTCAAGTTTGATTATTGTCCTTAATAATGTGGGATGGTAAAACAAGATTCATACAACCAACCTCGAGTCCATGTGGTCAGGTAGCATTGTAAGGTTTTAGTGCAATTGAACTTCTCCATCAGTAAGCAAAGTGGCATATTGGATTTTGTTCATCAACACAATTACTAGTGTTCGACCATTTGAATGCAAGTCCTCATAACACAATTGATAATCCGGTGGCAACTTTGGATGGAAACAGTAGCCTCCTGAACTACTTTTTACAGGGAACAGTTTGATATACCATTGAGATAGATCATGATAATTCATGTGTCGAAGGTTGCTGTTTTCAATTTTCGGTGGAGTCTCCATTTGTAGATAGACACTCACTCACACAGCCACTTGCCCCCATGGGAATTTGAGCCCTACCTTTTATTTTGGAAAACGAAGAAATTCCACGAAGTTACCTTTGGTTTAAATAAAATAAATAAAAGAGTAAAAAGTTCAAGATTTGCATTTTAGTCATTCATTTTGCCTAGAAGCTACCTAAAGTTTTGGCTGGACACTGTTCCTGTCTTTTTAAATGTTTTGGTTGGTAAAATGGACAATGTTTCTGCCATCTCACAAAAAGTGCAAAAACTTTGTATTTCTTGACTAAAATCATGAAGCCAAGCCTACAATTTTTGGCCTTGAAATGGGTGGGAAAGAACGTCCGCACCTAATATTGGCAATTCTGTGTGTACATTTATTTGTTTATTTGTCATATTTCTATTCATCTATTGATTTACTTTAATATCCAAACTAAACAACGTAGAGCTAGTTTTCATACATTATTCTTCAAGTTAGTAGTTGCAGCTGACGATTAAGCACGAGGGATTCTCCTTCTACCCAACTTACATTATCTATATTTCCTTACCTGACGAACAAACGCAAAAGGCAATATATTTTATATTGTACCATATATTGTACAAATATATGATAAATTTTGAAATTTCTTTTTCCCTCCTTAAATGCGGGGCTTAGCTTAGCGAAGACTGATTGCGACAGAAGCATACCAGACGGTCTGAGATGTCAAATGTACACATCCTATACTCTCCTATTCTACGCGAATAGCAATTCACTATTAGCGTTCCTTGCTTCTATTACATCAAACACCCAACGCAAACTTAAGCTACATCAAACAGTCAAATGTAAACTTACGCTATCAGATTAACTTATTTAAATTTACATGTGAAAACCAGCATCAACTTGTGAAAATATAAGTATAGCAAACATCTTCCTTAAATCACAAAATCCAGTTGAATATTTCAGCAAAAACTAGTACAATCAGGTGCAATGAGAAATAGAGTGAACATTTCTCTAGAACACACAGCCGACCCAAGCCATTTCAGGCTTAGGCTGCCAACTTAGGCAACTGGCGGACGGAGCACATGATCCTGGGAGGTATCAACAGCAGCAGGTGGCATGAACTGCCACATGGCAACTCCTGGGTAACTAATGATAGGTACCAACTTGTTGCCCTCAACTTGGCCTTGAGCAGCAAATGCAGCAGGGATTGCAGGAGGCAGAAAGCCAGGTTGAGTATTCATGGTTTTCAGCTGTTGTTCCAGTCTCTCTTTCTCAGCCTTTAGCCTCTGCTTCTCATCACGAAGCTCATTCTTCTCAGCCTAGGCAAGTTAAGAGGGAATTTGGTGTACCAAACATGTAAGTTTCCAGGTTCATGAGAATATAAATGAAGGAGACTGAAGGAACTGCGTTTATATGGCAGAAGGAAAACTATTGATCCAGAATGCAAATGAAATAAATAAATTCTGGTAGATATTCCATCCAAAAGTGATGTATTGTCAAAAAACTACAAAGCACACCTTTAATTCTTTAATCTTTTCCTGGAGATTTGAATTTGAGTCCTTCAACTTCTGGGCTTCACCCCGTAACTGAGTCACCATCCGAACAGCATCAACTAAAATAGCAGATTTGTCTGTTTTAGGAGGCCTTCCGGGCTCAAGTATAGAACCCAATTCCATAAACCTTGAGAACATGCCAAATTAGGTATGAGAGAGAGAGATAGAGAGAGAGAGAGAGGAGAAGAAGAGAGAAAGTGTGAGCTAACTTGTCATTTAGCCTATCCCTCCGCAACTTCTCCCTGCATGCTTTCGAACTTGATGGGGCACATGATTCGGATCTCGTCCTGGAACAAGAGATACAAAAATGCATGAGTAGTGGAGAAAGGAACTGGGATGGTGGAGACTGACCAATTCAGATTATTTCAATACCTAAATTGCTGTTTTTATGCACCACATTCAGCCAGTTTTGACATTACATATAACTAAACTAAGAGGGCTCACCATCTTGCAGTTACCCATTATCATTAAAGTTTGTCAGTGGGCCATGTTGGATTTCTTCACATTGGACCCCAACAGCTTCACTAGAAATAATACATGAAGTTAACTAGCAATATTAGCATGTTGTAACACAGGATTCAAAGAATACCATGACTTCTGGTGGGAATCTCAAACCATGTGGTTCAAAGTTCAGCCTGGGCTGGAATTAGGAAATTATTTTCTTTAGTGGGTAAAAAGCAGGCTAGAAAATTGGAGTGCCTTGATTCCTACCAAAACAAAAGAACCCTAAATGCATATAGATACTGCAAACAATTTGTCAAGGTCAAAGTACCTGAATTTTTGGAGGGGAAAAAAAAAAGGTCAACGTAAAGATCACACTTCAACTAGATTATGAAGCCCTCATTCTAGCTAGATCTTGGCTACCATCACCAGATCACAATCCATTGAAGTTAATAATACCCTTGCAGGAAAATCTAAGTTGCGTGTAACATTTATTAGGCATCAGTAAGACAGTAAGGAAACAACATCAGTTGTAATCGTATTACATGAATTACAGGAGGGGTGTTTTCCTTTGAATTATATCTTATTATTAACGTCTAGTGAAATTCAATCCTTATGCACAAGGCCTTAGCTTACGTGGTTACTGATTCGTATGTGGTGACTTGGTGTCCCATCACATGGATGGGATGACGAGGAACCATGACTAGCAAGCATGCTGCAAGTGAATGACAATCTTAAGATGGGATGACGAGGAACCATGACTAGCAAGCATGCTGCAAGTGAATGACAATCTTAAGAAAAATGCTAACTTTTATTTCTTTCAATTTGTCTTAAGTGAGACCAACTAAAAATATATATCAAACTGAGTGGATTGTAACTATGATTAAAAAAAAATAATAATAAAAGTGGGCAAACCCAGTGCAAAAGGCTCCCGCCATTGTGGGCTCTGGAGAGGGTCAGATGTACGCAGCCTTACCCTCCGCATGTGAAGAGGCTGTTTCCTTATTTGGAACCCATGTCCTCCAGGCCACAATGGAGCAACCTTACCATCGTGCCAACGCTTGCCCTCTATGATAAGTGCTTCTAAAATTTACCACCTTTAATACAAATTTCCACCATCTACTGAATCATAAGATCAAGGTCACCACACACATTACGCATGAACACACCCAGAGAGAGTTGTTTACCGCTTTTTTGAGCTGGTTTCTTTTATACCATCTGAATCCCCAAATGAGCCATCAACTTCCAAGCTAGGAACAAGATCCACAAGAGTAAGAAAAAAGACAAAAAATAGAAGCGCCAAGAATATTTATGTAAAACAAGAAAAATACACATATAAGGCCTAAATAATGCTCATTCATTTAAAAAGAATATATATCGCCACACATATATATAATCAGCATGGTTTCTTTGGAGCAATAAATAGTCACATTTTATTTTTACTTCATAATAAATAAAGCAAACAATGAAACTCGAACATGAGCAAATTTCTTATTTGCTGTACAATTTGTTACATTTAGGTTTTTTGAATCTTAAATTCCACTTGAATAAAGATGTTCCTATAACTTTCAAGGTTCACTGGACTCTTATACCGTCCAGCACAAACTGAACCAGTTAACTAGTATTTACACCAATAGCTTTTCCAATGAAGATGATAAATATTCTAGAAAAAAAATCTACTGTTGAACCAACTCCATGAAAGATTTGCTGACCACTCAGATTGACGTTTGTCCCTGAGTGCCAAACTGAGAACTGAAGAGGGTATTCTTTGCTGAGCATTACCTAGATAATTTCATTAATTCACATATTTTAACTAAACCCAGAATTCAGCACCATAATTTCCCATCCTACAAGTAAATTGCGTCCACACCATTCAATTCACGCAGCCAAGTACCAACCACTTGCAATGGACAAGAAAGCTGTTTTCATCTCCAAACATTATTATCTTCCAATCCCGGTACAAATCCTAACTTCCAATGACTCAACAACTACTTTCACCCTTCTTCTAAAAACAAGAAGAATCTCAACATCTTAAGGATTTCCTGCTAAGATTTGCAGTAATGCACCCCACCCCTCAATCCCTAGATTCAGAGCCTTAAACTGACGGATAAAAGAAATAACAACCTATTAACAAAGCCAAATCTCTGGGAATATTGAATACACATGCTCCACTTGGTATCCTAAAGAATGATATGTATTTTTTTTTTTTTCCTTTTTCTCTACATCATTCCAGGCTCAAAACAAAGTGATTGAAGTTTCCCAAAGATACCTACTGTCAAAGTTCACTAAAGCAACACACAATCATTCCATAAGTGAGACCTACTTAAACTGTGTCTCTGGGAAACTCTAATTTGACGCAATATTCCATTATGCTCAAGGTGAATTTGTAATAGAGCTAGTTATGTGAAACTATGTTGGGAATTGACAAATCCTAATATGCAATAAACGAGCATAAAATTTCCACAAATACTAATTTTCTCAACTCAACATTCAACAAGTAAGAAAGGATTCTGGAAAATTTTCTCAGAAACTCTTTCTCGTATAGAAAAGTGAAAATATACAAGAAATTTCCTCATCATTTTCATTCTTATTGTTCTTCAATAAAACTGAAGCAGTAATATCGACAAATCAACCACCAAAACCTACCAATTGGCGAAATAAAAGAGGAGAAGAAGAGGACTACACAGCTGACAAACACTTCTCCAATTTGACCCTTACATACCACTATAATAATAACAAAGTAGAGAGAATCATCAATCAACTGGGTACCAACAAAAACCCTAAATTCTTGAGAAATTAAACAAAAACAAGAAAATAAATAACCACCAAAAAAAAAAAAAAAAACCTAAATATTGACTTAGATGGCAACACCTCAGTACCTGACATTGGACGAGCCGTTCAAGGCTTGCACCGGCCAACTAAATCCAGAAGTTGGAGCAGAGAAATTCCCATCGGGGACAGATATATCCTCGATCAAACCGTAATCGAATAGCCAATTGGTATTTTCCGGAGAACCCATCTCCGAACAGTTGCCGGAAATGTCGAGATTTTCCGATCAGGAATTCTCCGGTAAAAGTAAAATGAAAAGAAGTAATACTAGCAGAGGGATTTGCTGTTTGGGAAGAGAGAAAAAGGGCTTTTTCTCGTCGGGCAAGAAAGGGAATCTGACGAGTGCGGAAAAACGAGGAAATGGGTTATAAATTTGCAATTTTGCATGTGTCTACACGAAGGAACTGAGAAACACGCTTTCGTGAACTGGGGCCCCGATTATGAGTGGTGGGCCTGGGCTTGACAAGTACCTAGAAGGTAGGTGGGCTTAGCATGACCTTTGCTTGACAGTTGATGGATGATGGATCATATCTTCCTACATGGTATGTGATGATTTCAATTGCAAATCACCAAAAGGAACTTTTTCCTTTGTTAATTTTTTTTTAGAAGGTATCTTTCATAATGCTTTTGAAAACACTTACCCGCCATCCTTAAAAATTAAAAAATTAAAAAATTAAAAAAAAAATAGTAGGAAATATATCACTAGGGCTGAGACTTGGGTGGGTTTAACCCGAACAACCCGATTACCGCTCAAAAATTTTATGGGCGTGGACGAGGTAATTGAGACCATGGGATGGTTTGGGCGGGATTTGGGACTAAGTTTTACTAACCGGAGGAGTTGGGAATACAAGAAAAGTGTATAATTTTTAATGTTCTAGTTGAAATAAATAAATAAATATATATAGTATTGAATTTTAGTTAAGGAAACAAAATAATAAAAAATATAAGATTTGCTTTCTTTCCAAATAATATTAAGAATTTTTATTAAGTCCCACAAGTTTTCAAATTTTAGTAACATAGTTTGGTTAATTATGTATGTTTTATTTTATGTCAAGTGTATATAAATATATACTTTGCTAATTTTTTAATGTTTATTTATTAATAGGATATTACAATTTGGGATGACAAACCTGAAAAACAGTTAAACCTCTGCAGTATGGCATGAGTTATGATAGTTCCTCAGAATTAGAGTTTGGCACAGGCTGAGGTGTAAGAACCTTGAAGTTTTGACGTGAGTTAACCCATTAACCCACCCAACCCGCCCAAATCCCACCATTATATGTCACTAACTTGATATCTTGAATGTTTTTTTTTTATATATATACAAAATTTAACTTACAAGTTGACATAAGAATCATTTTCTATGTGATAATTAATGTTAAAAGTAAGAAAAATGATAAAAGTTATTCATTACTAATTAAGATTCTTATTAAATTGATTGGAATAGTAAAAAGGAAAAAAAAAATCAATTATAGCAGTACTCAAAAGGTTATTTTATAAGAGAGTACTCCCGTTGTCATTAACATGATGATTATGTGTATGATATCATATTGCACTAAATTGAATGAATTGACGGTTAACAAACTTACATGGAAGCACATCCTAATATTTTCCAACTAATAAACTCAAAAAATCATTTGCTCATTTAATAAACTCAAAATGTGTTGACCTTTAGAAAAAGGAGAATTAAATGTATGGTGCCTATGGTCCACCTTCAAGCAAAATATACAACAAAGAAAAATATCATGTCCAGTGTAGGTGTTCACATCAAGTTAAGGACTGATGTAAATGTAATATGTGTGAGCATAAATTTATTGTGGGCGCGTTCTCATATTAGAATTGCTCTACAACAAAAGCCTAAAAAGCAATGCACTAACTCAGTCGTGATGCTCCAAAAAACAAAAAAAAAAAAGGGTTCGTGATGCTCCGTATCATCCATCAGATCAAACCATGTGGGGTCAAGAAGAGAAAGGCATATATAGATTATGGATAGTGCAGCACAACCCAAAATGCTGACGAGGCATGATCCAATTGGTGGACAGTGATTTATGAAGAAATAGAGACACTGTAGTAGGGAATGGAATGGGGTGGGTTTTAAAACCACACACATCACCAATTGGCTTGTCTTAAAGATGAAGTGGGGCCTACTACAAGCGAAAAAGGCGGTGCAGTACACCATATTAGGTAATCCCTCTCCAAATCTACCTTTAGATGGTTAGACCTAGGGGGAGAATATGCTATGAAACATAATGAAAAAGCATAGAAAATGGGAGGAATACTTCTAAAATTAAGTAAATAAAATCTTAAAAGAGAGAATTTGTGATATACTCATTTATTTATTTATTTATTTTTTTGACCTTGTAATAAGAAAAATATAATTTAAATAAGAAGAGTGAAGGTGTTATCGTATTTAATCAGTTCTACTTGTTTGATCAATTAGTGTAGCATGACTCTCATGATAAATATACTTTTATTATTTTTATTACTCACATAATTAAGTAATTAGTTATTTTATTATTTATACTAATTTTTTTCTTCCAAAAATTATAAAGATTAAATGCAATGGCTATCACCACGCTTAAAGTGGTTATGGTGATTAGGCAATGGACCACTGAAAACCTGTGACCATGACCCATTCTCATTTTCAGGAGCTATACAAATCTTGTAAGGCAATGGAATTCGACTGCAGTAATATAAGTTTAATTAGACCAGTAGGGAGGACATGATCAATCTGGGATGGACCTCCTATTAAGAGTCTAGTGCCGACAGCTGTTCCTATTGAAAAAAATTTTATTTATAATTTTTGTTAAAAGTTTTAAAATATTCTTACTCAATTTCTAATAATACATATATATTCTTATTGTTTAAGGTCGTCCTCCCTCATATAATTCACCGTCACCGTAATCTATCATCTTAATTACCATTCAGTCGATAAAAGGGAGGCTAACTTAGGAGCTCTCAAAGGTCCATGGCAACATAGTTTATGGGTATTTCTCAACCTCCCTCATAGACTTACTCTCCTTTATTCTCTTATTCTCTTATTAAACTGCATTTGAGGGTGACATTTTTGTTGCTCATGAAACCTTTAATTTCTTGAGAAGACAGAAAATGGGGAGAATTGTAAGTGGCTTTCAATTTCCGGCAACGCAGAAGCGCATATCTGAGAGGGTAGAGTGGCATTAATCAGTGAAGGGAGGGAGGTTCTTCACTTCTATGGATTCTGTGAAAAAAAAAAAAGCGGGTAGAAACAGAACTCAATGCAAAGTTAATACTACTACAACATTTTTTTTTTTTCCCTAGTTTATACTACTATAACATTAATCACACAGGGTACTTGAGACCTAATAAAATAGTGGTCCCAAAAAGTACCTACTTATGCTATCTGTAATTTTAAAATTCCCACCTCCTTGTGTGAGATGACATTAGTTCCAAAATTGTTAGATCTTGGTGGAGTAATAAAAAAAGGGTGGGCTGGCATGGCCTGGCATGCACCGGAAGATTTGGGATTCAGTTTCCAATAAAATTTTGAGAGCTAGTCTTGGCTTTACATATATGACACTATCATTTTGACACACATGCTTTGTGATATTTGTGTGTTTTCAAAATTTCTTCTTGATATATATCTAGTAGACTTTCAAACCATTTTAGCAATAAGTGTATGGAGCGGGATGACAATGGAGCGGGTTTAAGTATTCCGTATCGGTTTAATTTTTTCAGATCTCATTCTCATCCAAAATTGATTAAATGGGGTATCCTCCCACCTGTCCACGCCTCCTTTAAACTCTCACTTAAATATTTGAATCATTCCACTATAATAGAACCCCAAATTTATGCACAGTAGAAGTTAATCTTTCTAGAAAGGATAAAGAAATGACTAAGGAGTGAAAACAAAATATTTAGGGTTCCATTATTATAGCATTACACACACACACATATATATATATCTAGGAAATTAATTTAATTAACCTCCTACCCTCAAACCCATTTCCACCCAAATTCCATAAACGGCCCCCAAACCAGCTTTAAATAGGGTGGGGCCGGTACCTCCCTGCGGGGTAAATTGACATCCTAGTGTATGTAAAACTTTCTTTATTAAAATAAGAATTGTCTCACATGACAAACAAGATTGTCACAATTTGTTTGTCAGAAAATAAAATCCGGATTAATGATCGAGTTGAGAATAAGCAAGCTAAAAATTTCAAGGTCTGAAGTAAGAAATGATTACAAAGTGTTTTTTTTTTTTTTTTTTTTAAATCTAAAAGTGAAAAAAATAATGGAAGTCCCAAAAAAACTACACTAGCTTTAAGGCTCTGTTTGTTTCGATATAAAATATTTGTTTTGAAAAATATTTTCTTTTCAGGTAAAATATTCTTTTATTTTTATTTTTTCGATATTTGGCAAAGGTCAACGTCGATTCTGAGGTTGAATTCATTGGGTGGGGTATATAAAATAATTTGTCAAAAATTGATGAATAAGTTATTTTTGTTAAATTTTAATATATTTTTTCTTGGTAAATATTTTACGACAATCAAACACCATCAAATAAAAAAAATATTTTACATCCAAACAAACGGAACTTAATGTGAATTAATATTACATTTGAAAACTAAATATTGGTTTAATATCCTATCATATATTACATTTGACAACTTAATATTGACTAATAATATCATATCAAATCGATCAACGCAGAGAGTGAATAAAACCATCGATCCTTCTCCTCATCTCATCCGGATTAGCACCCACAAGCCTATCAACCTGAGCTCCTTCCCTCATCAGCAAAAAGGTGGGCATGGCCTTTATGTCCATCTTTGAGGCTATCTCCTAATAAAATCCACATAAAACCACTCATGTAATTTACCAACTTGTTTTCTTCTTTAAAAGGAAAAGAAAATAGGTAATCATTCAAATTGAAGTGTTAAATTTTTAATTATTTTAAACAGTGATGCCTTAAAGATGCAGGGATGCAATTAAGGCAGGTTAGATAAGCGGAGAGGTTAATCCAAAGTTAATTCAGTGTTTGGAAGATCAAATTGAAAATCGGGTTGGGAAAAAATAAAATAAAATAAAAACCAAGCATTTATGTAGCACAGAATTACAGAGCATTCATAAAATAGTTTTCTAATGATAATTCTACTCTTAATATAAGAAAATAGTAAGCTATCATAATTTTATTGTACAATTGTTTACATGCGAAGCGTATGTATAAAAATTCTGATTAGGCTTAGGTAAACAGTTCCATGATAGCTTTGGGTTAATTTCTTGATCTGAGTCTGAGTCCAATTAACCCAATTAAGTATTTTCCAGTCCAAACATGTAAAAAACCTCTCTGCATTTGGATTAACCCATCCAAGTTGCACCTACCTCTTCTCTCCCTCAGTCCTCACCCAACCCACCCAAAAGAATAAAAAATAAAAATAAAAAGAAAAAAGAAAAATAAAAAAATTGAACTTTTGTTGTATGTAAAGCCTCCAGTCTACTAAATAGGGCTGAAGAAAAAAGAGTGATACAATGAAAAATTATTACATAACCCATCTCCCGACCATGTAATTATATATGTCGCTGCATGTAATTGGTTGGGATTTTGTAATAATTTAGGCACATTTTCAAAGCATTAGATTGTAAAGTTTTTTGATGATTGATACTACTTCTGATCCAGCGTTTAATTAGTTATTCTCACTTACTTTAGACAAAGTAAAGAGAAAAATCCCATCCATCTCTTTCCTTTTTTCACCCCATGTCGCCACACGAGAGACATGGGGCGTGAAAAAAGAAAATTCTATCAACTTGTTCCTATCTAGGATAATAAGTTTATGAGTTTGGTCATACTTCACCACCGAGAAACCAAAGAAGGATCACAAATGATTTCAAAACGCCAATTTACATAGTGTAGCACATTCTGAGAAGCTATATATACCATCAATAAACACTAGACAGATAGATCAACTTTGGAGTTAAACAAATGGTGAAGCTCATGACATTAAACCTAAAATAACTTCCCTGTTACCAAAACAACATATTTAGTCTATGAATTATCATTATTATTAAAGGATTACCTTGACCTCATCCACATCCACTAACATAAACACAATATCTTGGTAGCTTAAGGCCAGTTCTTCAAAGACTGGATTCATGGCAACAGAGGGCATGCACCATGAAGCAGTAAAATGTACTACCACCTGCAATTTACAAAAACACACCATCAATAAAAAATTTAATTGTAGTATATAAATCATGTAATTAATACAATCAACAACAAACTTTAATTTTCAAAGCAGTAAGGATTCATATATAACTAGAAAGGGTTTTGAAACATCAATTGTTTAAGACTTGAAATTCTGCTCTTTTTACATTAACCGGCTGATCCCGAAAAAAGCATGGATTAATAAAAATGCATTATTTAATGATATCAAAAAAATAAAATTACCCAAAAAAAAAAAAAAAAAAAACAACAAGGCTTACCGGGTAGTCTTGATTTCTAGCTAGAGTTATAAAGAAGTCCCATATTTCTTCAGAGTCAACTTTTACAACCCTGCACTTTCTAAGCTGCCCATTCTCTCTCATCCCCTTATTCTTCCTTCTTCCTTCTCTTTGTTAACGTGGGATGACAATGATATATATAGAGAGGTTGGGATTGATAAGAAATTATATTTGATATATATATTTGTATTTTATGCTGTAGGTTTTAGATGAGAATGGAATGAATTGATTTGATTTGAGGTAGGACCTTCTTTGAAAGCTACTTATTCTCAGATATCCAAAAAAAAAAAAAAACCTTCTGCTTTATCCAATTCTATGGTCATCAAAGTCATACAGTGTTTAAATAATCGGATTAATATGAGAGTTGAACTACTAAACATTTTTCTTGTTTAAATATATATTTGTTGCTAAAATTATCTTCATACTTTATTATTTCTTCAGAAGAAAAACTTGAGATATTTTCCCCCCCGAAGTGTAGTCCCTATAATGTAACTGAAACTGGAATATGCAATTGATTTCACTATATAAACTATGAGAGTAAAAATGTCAAAAACAAAAAGTACATATCGGAGTGAAACCTTCCTCCTCTGTGACTTGACCAGTTAATCTCTCACTCTTTTAGTTTCAGATGACATGGTTGCAATATGTAATGGGGATATAACTTTATGTACAAATGGACCCCCCTAAAAGATTATAGTGGTAATACATAGGCAGAGCTGGACAGGTTTTATAGAGTAATTAAGGTCGTTGCACTTAAATATGGATAATTAATGTGATTGGAACGGTAGCCATGATAATCTTGTCGTGGTGGGGCTTGTGGCACACATGTCAATAAAACATTGCTCATTTGATTGTAGTACGGTCGGCGGGACCCTTTTTTTTTTTTTTTTGATTTTTTTGGTTGGTAGCATAGCATCAGTGCCCATGTTGGTCTGCCGACCCATTACCCATAACATCAATAATTAAGCTAGCAGCTTATCCTTATCAACATTGTGGTGAGAGTTGTGAGATCGACTAGATGGATAAACATGTTGGAATTCAATTAAGGCAGGCCTCTCGACATTACTCATTATTATTTGAATCATATGTAAATAATATATTTCGGTTGCCCCCCGGGCTCATATAAGTTGGCTAAGTAGCGAAAACAGTGTATAAAGACTTTCTAGATATGTCTCTAATATTTTATAATCGTGTCTATAATTTATATATATATATATTTTTAAATTTTTGGCCAACATATCTTACTTGACATATTTAAAATATTTGGTCAATATATTCCGGAGAATCGACTATCACATCTTACACTTTTCATTTTCTATAAAGTGAACATTATAAACACGCATCAAAGTATTCAACCTCTATTTAACTTCGAAAGAACAAAAACACAAGTATAGTGACAAAATATGATAGTAATATCATTTATCATATAACATTTTATTATTATTTTTTTATTTTTATATTCGAATAGCACTATCTTCTAATTTATGGAGCTTTAGTATATAATTTATAACTTTAGTATATAATTTATAAATTAATTAAATTTATATGATTGTCTCATTCAATAAGTATATAAATGAAAATTTTCATTTATATTAATCATGTCCACATTGTGTTTGTGTCCTACTTTTTAAAGATTTAACCAACATCATGAACATGCATCAAATTATTCAACCTCTATTTAACTTCTAAAGAACAAAAACATAAGTATAATGACAAAATATGATAGTAATATTATATATAATATAACATATATTTTTTTATATTTGAATAGCACCATCTTCTAATTTATGTAACTTTAATATATAATTTATAAATTAATTAAAGTTATATGATTATCTCACTCAATAAATATATAAATAAATACGTTAATACATCAAATCTTTAAAAAAGTCTTAATACATTAAATCTTTAAAAAAGTCTCCTTTTTTAAAGATTTGATGTATTAGCCTATCCATATGGTATGCAGCTATTAGTACTTTTTTAAAGATTTGATGTATTAACCAATCCATATGGTATGCAGCTATTAGTATATTGAAATTATTCTCCTGCTAGGTGTGGTAATTGGTCTCTCATATTTTCTTCAGGAACTACAAACAAAGCAGTTCACTGCCCACCTAGTGTTATCACATGGCTTAGTTAACGACGATTTAGCTAGTTGGATATTTCAGTTACGGAGTATGATATAATAGATAGAGTGAGATGATTTTAAGAGAGAGAAAATTTTGAAAAAATAAAAATTGAAAATAAAATTCTCAACTTTCGTAAAAATGGAAGAAATGGAGATGCGGGGTATCGATCCCCGTACCTCTCGCATGCTAAGCGAGCGCTCTACCATCTGAGCTACATCCCCAAGTTGAAAAGTTGTCCCTAGATATCGTTTTTGACTCTTCCCCCCGTATTTTTTTAAAAAAAAATTCCCTAGTGATTTGAATGTTGATGAAATCGCCCAATTGATATGTCGTGGCTACTTGTTTTGATTCAATTATAGTAATTGTCGTTGGGTAAGCAGTTTGTTGTATATCTGGATTAAATTTACAGAATAAAACTTTATTTTCGTTGTGGGGACTTGAATCCAAAACTTTCTTATCAAGTTAAATATTTATTAGTATGTTGACTATAGCGAATTTGATGTTAATAAATTTCATTTAAAAAATATATAAACTATTTGCTGAAAATTTATTCATAAACCCAATTGGTCCAGCATAGATTTCTAGGTCCATTCGATGCAATTTCACATTAGTTCTTCTGTCTATTTATATACCAGTGAAATTTTAGGTGTAAATTTTATTTATATTTTATGCAATAGGCATAAAATTTTAAAAATAAAATAGAGCTCCATACTAAGTAATATACGCCATGCAATAGGCGTAAAGTATAAATATACACACACACATATATATATAATTGGGTTTATGAATGTACAGGTATATAGATGTTCAAATACCTATTTGGGTAATTGTATTTTTATTTTATTTTATTTATTTATTATTATTTTTTTTTTTTGAAAATTTGCATAATATACTAAGATTTTTTTAATATTAAATTAGCTTATTTCATGTCTTGCTTAATTAATGCCCTTCAATTGCTCGACAAAAATGATAATTATAAATTAATCTCAAAACATATTGTTTACCCAATTTCAGTGATAATGGTGCTACTTACGGCGAAGCATTTGAAACCCTGATTGTGAAACTATGTTTGTTGGTTTCAATTATTCTATGGAGTAACTATTTCTTCTGAGCTTAACTGTCTCCCCTGTTCAGATTTGACGCTGTTTTCTTTCAATTCTTGGATCCTTTTGCGATAATGTTTCATATTTATTTGGTTGCTGATATTTATTTCAAAGGTAGTCAATTCTGTTTCTGAAATCGCATCCTTCACTTTTCAGGCATAATCTTTAACACAGGATGAAGGCGGGTTTTGTGCATACATCTGACCCTTGTCATGTCCAGCCCCGCAATGGTGAGAGTCTCGTGCACTAAACTACCACCTTTTGATTTTTTACACAAGACTATAAATTGTATCCAACCAGTATGGTCTCCGACAAATTTGGACTACATCAAACCATTAAATTGGGATTTCTACATATGATAGAACCTAATACTCAAACCACTAACTTACAGTTTCTGCAAAAAAAAAAAAAAAAAAAAAAAAATTATCCCTTCTCTATATATTAATTCTCTTTGTTACTCTCTTAGCAAACTTTGAGCAAGTACCCTCTTTATGCTATATTGCTATTTATCTTAGTTTTATGTTCTTTGTTGGATGAATTGTTTGACAGTGATTGGCTTTCACTCACTTTATCTTAGTTTTGTTTTCTTTACAGAATCTCATTCTTTGAACTAGCTGTTGCTTGTGCATTATGAACTACTACTAATTCATTCCGTTACGTGATTAATTTGATATATATAGCTATCATTTGTCCCTTCTTATTGGACTTGCTTGTTGGCTTCGACCACAAGTGACATTGATTGTTTGATTTATGGTCTATGTGAATAAGCAACAACTGAATACATTTTTGTTTGTAATACTATGCATGTCCCCACCTCATTGATTCATTCATATTCTTCAATAGCATATCACATGCTGCTTTCTGATAGCAGGAGCCAGTATGAGCATATTGCTTTGCAATCCACTATTATATGTATTTGGATTACAGAGAGATTGTATTGAGTTAATTTGTTAACATAGGAGTTTCCATGTAAATTATGCGAAAATCTTAAACAGATTCAGAACCCTTGCCATCTTTTCCTTGAGGAATATCACAATCCAAAGTTTTCTTGGGAATTCTCATCTCTAAAATTATGCCATTGTTCACATGTGCCTCTATATTCCTCCCATCTGCATTTTCTGGCAATTCAAGCCTCCGAACGAACCCATGTTCCCACCAGTGCCCACTTTTCCAGTCCTTTGTCTTGGACTCTCTATGCTGCTTCCATTGCCCACTAATCTCCACAACCTTCCCATTTTCGACATGAATTTGAACACTAGTCTTCCCAATTTCTGTTAGAACAAACCAGTAGCATCAATGATAAATCATCACCATTGCCATAAGTAGTTTTTGAAATAAATCTGTGGAGTCTTGACCTTATCCCCAACTCTACTGACATAATCCCATTTAACATGTCACTCAAAAATCAGCTCTTGGTGAGTTTATAAGTTGTAATTTCTTTGCATGAAACCAAATAGAAGACACACCAATGTTAGGATCTCCTTGCTTGATAAAATATACCTATGAAGCCATGACATGAATATTGACCCTGACTCCATTTATTTGACACCTGACAACATATATGTTGCAGCTTTCTTTGTTCATGAAAATGAAATCCATGGAGGGTATGTCCATTCCAAGTGATTTAAAGCCACAAAAATATTGAAAAGGTTGTTACGAAACTAACCTGGTAGTTCTGCTTTCAGTACATAATCTGTATCTGTCTGCAACCAGTCAACAGTACTCTGACCAGAGCTCCGAAGTTTGGACAATAGTGTATCTGACTCAAACTCCCACAGTGGGAAGGCATCGGAAGGATCAAAAAATTTTCCAAACAGCAATGGACCGAAAAGCGAACCATCACCAAAAACCTTGTGAACTGTTGGACTACCTTTGAGCATGAAGGTTTGAAACACATCTTCCTTCAACGGAACGCACCATTTATGTGGATCTTGATCTTCTGATTGAACTTCAAGCATTCTGCAACTTGTCATTGCAGGATAGAAATTTTAATATTTTCAGGATTGTGGAGAATAGAGTTTGAGATGTTGTGCTTCTTATAGTGCAGGAGCTGTCCTTGGAAAAAGCATAGAACAAATTCTCTTGGAATATGTGGAGTACTAAAGCTAGAGGAATATTTCTTTTCTATGTCTTGCTCACTGGTAAGAGAATTGTGGCAGGCTAATTAGGCATGGCAGAATCCTTGTGGCAGCCCACAGCCAATAACTGGCCGTCTTCTTCTACAGATGACGTCGCAAATTAGAGGTGGCAACTACTACTTGTCAACATACACTAAACCAAGCCACAGGTTCTTTGTCCCATCAATTTCTCTCGCTTTTTGACTAATTTGTTTTGGGCAATGTCTATATTTTTTCTTCAATATGATTGTAGTGTAGACCTCCATAAATAACAATTGCAAGGTGCATGAGGTAATAATACTCCTTTATTATTGTAAACCATAAAACTTTATAGTAATTTGGCTTGAAGGATTCTGTGCATGCATATATTATGAGTTCACGATGGATTAAGACTCTTATAATGCATAAATATATATATATATATATATAGGTGATGTTTTTCAGTTTGTTCACTTATAATTGGCAGCCATAATCATTAAGAAGTTGGATGAGGCTGGAAAATCGGAAGGCCAAGAAGATGGCATGGTACAACAGTGCTTTCAAATAAGGTTCACAGAGTCCGGTAAGTGAATTAATTTAATCTGATGTTGCTTTTCTTGTATAATCTTACCATCTAGTGCATTTTCTTTTGCGTAATCTTCTTTGCCAGACCTTTTGAATGGAAATTGTCACGGCCTCTTACTGTGCCATGTTGTGTGAAAGGAATACTTTCCGTGTATTGGGTGTTTATTGTCATAAAGCACCTACTCTCTATGCTTTTTCCTCAACTTTATATTAAAGTTTGGCAAAATACAGAGAAGCTATGTTCAGTGCAATGGTTTTGGTATTGGCATCTCCATATTAACTTTTTCTAAAAGCAGGATAAGTATCAATTTGATGGATGTTTGAAATTATGGCCATGGGAATACTAGAGCCACTTTTAAAAGTGAGGTATGTCTAGAAATGTGTGTTCCCAATCAAAAGATAGATGGGCTGATCAGTCAGTGCCAATCTTGACACTGAACCATGGTTTATGGAACATTATTTTGAATGGACGTACAGTACTGTAGCTAATTGGAGAGAGAGAATAAATATGTACAGTACTGTAGTTATATTACAATAATAAACCTTTCATGATTGAGCCAATTGGAAAAGAATATTGAGAAAAGAGTCATATCTTCTATCTTCTTTATGATAATATTTAGTAGCTCAATCTTCAATTGAATAGTCAGTGTTGGCCAGTTCATCATATCTTGAAGTAATCTTTCTGGAGCTTGTAGTTTCCTGGAAGAAATGACCAAAGAGAAACTATGAGGGAAAGATAAAAAAAAAAAAAAAAACAGAAAGAGTGCATGGATGGAAAGATTTAGGGGTTGTTTGTAGCAGTAGTTATAAACCTTGAGGAGCTAAATATTTTTCCTTATTGACTCGTATGTCATTTTGGGACAAAGGCAAGGATGGTGTTAGTGACCGGTAACGGTCTTAAAAATTAAAAAATGCAAAGATTATTCGAACAAACAACATTATGATGAAGAAATGGATAAAGGTTTTTCAATTGATTTGCATTATTTAGTTCATCATATTGGAACGTTAATCTACAATGCAGAGTTACTAATTTTGGAGCTTAATTCCACAGCGTGCAGGGTTTTACAAACTATTTAACTGTGTGTTTTGCATTGTGAAACAAATCAATTAGTACTAATTTCAGAGCTTCCACTGCTTGGAAGGTTGACAAACTATATAACACTGTTTTGCTTTTGTGAAACAGATCAATGACTAACATCAGCTATTTGAGCTTATCGCCATGCTAAACAGTTGGGTTACGATCAACTGAAAACAGTTTTGAACTAAATTTCAACGGAATTGCGCAGAATATCATATCTCTGTTCTTTGATAAGATAGGCAGTGTTCACAAACCATTATTGATAAAGAAAATGTGTTTTCTGACTTGGATGAGTACATAGATGACTAATTGCATCTGTTAGTTGTGGTTTTGTTATCAGCCTGTTGTATAACTGTCTACAACCACTTGAAACTGCATTCAAGACCTACAAAAATTATGCCTCCAGAGTAAAGCTACAGAAAAACCATCAGAGAAGCAACCTTTTTGTCTTAAAGTTTGCTATCAACTTTGAGCAGACGTTTTGTCACTGGTTTGAATCACTGAACTCATGATCTATTTACCTTTTCTCTTGCCTCTAAGATGTCATTTATAGCAAGTTTTCTCTCCCTATCCTTCCCAAGAGAAATTTTGTTACTTTCTAGCTGTCGAAATGGGTGATTTTAGACCACAAAATTCTGTGACCTAGTAATATTTTTTCCCAAAGGTTTGTAAGTCTACTCAAAATATTGTGGGAGTTATTTGCCTTGAGACAAAAAAAAAAAAAAAAAAAAAAAAAAAAAAAAAAAAAACATTAAAAAAAAAAAGGGTGTCCGAGTATATTTAATAAGTTTGTAATATCATGTCATCATTACAAGCGGCGTAATTAGGTTTTTATTGTCTCCAAGAAAGTGATCAAATATTTAATGTGATCAGTGAGCTCAAATGAAAACTCTAGGTTATTTTAAATGTCATTCTTCCAATTTGGTTAATTTTAAAGCAAAGAGAGTTGCACAATAATACTCAGTCGAGCAATAATACTCTGTCTGATCAAATTGGCCTACTCCTAGTCCGAATCCTACATGTAATATCACGTAATTACCTAAATTGTTAATATTTTATTTGCTCGCTAAAGATACCAAAAATAAAAATGAAAATATGAAAAAAAAATAAATATGAAAATCTATTCATCTTCTTTGTTATGATGCTATGTACGAGCTGTGTCCCTCCATTCCTGAGAAAGGGTAAGCCCCTTCAACAGCAGATCTCGGATACCATCGTCCAGAGTTTTAGAGGCAGAGTTTTCGCCATTGCTTTGCTAAATCGACAAAGTGACGAATCAAACCTAAAATCAACAAAAGAAGGGCTTATGCTTTAGCGATGGCTGGCTACTATGTACAGCCATAATCTCTGGGCAGTATTATACTATCCGTTCCACCAGATGAGACTGACTCCCTTATTATAAAGGATAATACCATTCTCTCGAGAATTCTATTTTCGTGTTAGCCTTGAATTCGTTAATGAAAAATTCAACAATTGATTAAATAATAGGCTTATTGATTGTATTTTTTTAAAAAGTATATCGTTCTTTGTTTTTAAGAAATTTCGAGTACAGCCTCCAAAAGGATTTTCTCCCAAAAGATGTCAAGTCCTACCCTCTCCTCTAACACCATGTTCATCATCTCCTCTAACACCATTTTCATCATCTAATTTTTAATTTTCAATTTGACACTCCACCAGACCCATCATCAACTCCTCACCGAGTATGGCCTCTCAAAGGATCTTCTTCCAAACGATCTCAAGTCCTACCCTATCCTCTAACGCCATGTTCATCATCTAACTTCCTGTTAGTTTTCTTTTTGGTATCTTTAGCGTGCAAATAAAATATTAACAATTTAGGTAATTACGTGGTATTCCATGTAGGATTCGGATTAGGAGTAAGCCAATTTGGTGTTGTTAAATGCAACGTTGACGCTTCTTTTTCATCTTCAGTTGGGATGGGTGGCGGGGAGCCGTTTTTCGTGATTCCAATGGCTCTATTCTTCATGCTGTTGTCTTTAAGCATTTTCCAGCTTCTTTTCCTTTGTTTGTTGAGGCATACGCCTTCAGGCTTGCAGTTATATGTGCTAGAGTGTTCTCCTTCCTTCAGGTTTGGTTTGAGAGTGATTCCAAGCTCCTTGTGGAAGCTTTGAAAATGAGCAGCAGGTGGCCTTCTGTTCTTTCTCCAATTATCTCTGACATCCGGTATGACCTCAGCCTTTTCTCGTGTTAAAGTTTCTCATGTCTGCATATAAGGTAATAGAGTGGCCCATGCTCTTACTTCACTCTCATTTTCGGCTATGCAAGCTGATGATGTTCTCTCTCAACTTCCTCCTGAAGTGTTTCAGTTAGCAATGCTTGATTGTTCTCATCCCTGTTGTTGTTAATGCTTTCTTTGTTTGCCAGGAGAAAAAAAATAATAAAAAATAAATAAATAAATAAAATAAATAAAATTTCGGTTTTACCTTACTCACTTTCTATACTCTTTTAAAAACCTATCATACAAGGTGTGTTAATAGTTAGAAAACCCATCACATAAGGCATGTTGATAATTTGGGTCTCTAGTATTGCTACCCTTTGCATATTACTTGTTAAATTCTATATATATGTACTTAAATTACCTAAATTTACCTCAAATGATGGAAAGCAATATATATAGAAAGTTGATTCTTTTTTTTTTTTTCATTTTTTTTTTCTTTCTTAATTTCTATACGTTCTCTTCTAAAGTTAAACAAACTTTTTTTATACAGCATTGTTTATATTTGAGTAAAATTAACTTTTCTTTAATTTTCAATTCAATTAAATATTTTTCTATAATGAGATAGGATCTATTTATTGATATACAATTTGTTTCTAATTCAAAAATGGTTTATTATCCTAATCACTGGTAATATCTTTTCCCAATGTTTAAGTCTACTCAAAATATTGTGGGAGTTCTTTGCTTTGACGATGACCAAAAAAAAAACCAAAAAAATAAAAAAAAAAAAAAAAGAAGAAAGAAAGAAAAAAAAGGTATCCATGATAATATTTAATAAGTTGGTGATATCATGTCATCATTATAATCTGCGTAATTAGATTTTTATTGTCTCCAAGAAGATGATGAAATACTTAATGCGCTCAATGAGTTCAAATAAAAACTCTCAATTAAAGGTGCTCCACTTTCACTATCTCTCAAAATGAAATTACAAACAAACTCTTATCCCATACAAGTTTAAAAAGTGAGACTATTCTAATTCATGTTTTATCTCACTCACTTTCTATCTCTCTCTGGACTCTTTTAGAAACATATGAGATAAGGTATGTTGATAGTTAGAAAACCTATCACATAAGGCATGCTGATAATTTGGGTCTCTAGCATTAGTGCCCTTTACATATTACTTGTTAAATTCTATATATATATTTAAAATACCTAAATTTACCTCAAATGATGGAAAGCAGTACATATAGAAAGTTAGGGCTTTTTTTATTTTTATTTTTTATTTTTTATCTATAGGTTATTTTCTAAAATCAAACAAATTTTTTCTATACAACATTGTTTCTATTTGAGTAATATTAAACTTTTCTTTAATTTTCAATTCAATTAAATATTTTTCTATAATGAGATAGGATCTATTTATTGATATACAATTTGTTTCTAATTCAAATATAGTTTATTATCGTAATCACTGTCCTAAACTTTTCTCCTTTTATTTAAGGATAACCCTTCCTCATAACAAGAATTTTGTCAATTATTCTCAACTTGGCATCCCAATGGATAAAATTTGATAGATTGATAAAGAAGAAAAAATATTTTCAAAATCAACTAAAAAAATTATATTCTAATGAAAAAAAAAATAGAACAAAAGTAAGAAATTAGAAGGGTTAATGACTGATTAATAGATTTTTTTAGTTTTCTTCAATGCAACTTGTCTTAACAAGTTCAATAACTCTTTCCAATTAAGACATTCTATCATTAGTGCGATCTTTCATTTTGAGAGAGAGAGAGGATTGGAGGTAACATGGGAGGAGTTGAAGAATCTAAGCGCAGAAAAATCCTACGTTTTGGCATCCTAACCCTAAAGGAAAGGGCAATTATGAAACTAAAAATTATAAAATTAAACTTGACGTGATGTGAGGGTTACTTTGTAATTTTAATTTAGAGAAAAAAAAAGGTGAAGCGTCTTAGGATTATACTGAAGGGCGAAGCAAATTAGCTAATTTTTTCTTTTCAACCATATCTATTTTCATGTTGGGATCCAGATAGGAAGCATGTTGGGATCCCGATTGGAAGTTACCATAATAGGAATTTCCCTTTGTTGTTCATCCCCCAACAGTACCTTGTATATTGAGACTCTGGCTGTTAATTCAAAGTGATCTTGAACTTAATTACTTCAATTTTTGTGTGTGTTTATAACTAAGTCATTCCGTGTCAATTTAACCAATTATAATTCTGGAAATTTTTTGGCATCTTCTCTTCCCCTTTCTTTTAACATATCTTAAAAGTAAGGTTCGGTTTGTTTTTTTTAGTATATGGTTGTCATAAAATATTTACTAAAAAAAGAAAAATTAAAATTTAACCAAAATAACTTATTCAACGTTTGTCAAACACCGAAAAAATAAAAATAAAAAATAATAAATAATAAATTTTTTTTTATAAAACTAATAGGGTAAATTACACTAACCTCCCTTGAGGTTCAGTTAAGTTACAATGACCTCCCCTCTTGTTTGACAAATTACACTGACCTCATTTCAAGTTTAAATCTTTATAACAGAGAGTATCCATCCATTAACGGTCGTTAAAGGTTAATGCCAGGTAAATGTTAGTAATTGCTAATGTAAGTTGAAAGTTATTAAAATGTCCTTTTAGTTATTATGAAGACAAATTTGACCTTAATTACTCAAGTAAAATTACTTAAAAACCTTCCATGGTTGCTATTACATTACCTTCTTCTTTAAAGCCTTTTGGGCTCTCTGCGATTTACTTGAATTCACTGGAGCCACTGGTACAAGCTCTCTCCACTCAACCTTTCAAAAAAAAAAAAAAAAAAAACCCCCTCTCTCCACTAATTGCTTTTTTTTTTTTATTTAAAAAAACTCATAATTGAGTTACTTCATTCTTCATGTATTCCTTATTATGTAGAGTGGAATACAAGAATCACCCAATATCAACACCCTAGGAAATATAAATTTTTTAGGTGTCTTGGCTTTGGACTTCGTTTGTAACCAAATGCAATCGGATTAATTATAAATGGAAGGTGGAGATGATCTACTACGACCAAACCTCCAATTATAAATGATCCGATTATTTGGTGCGTTTGAGTTTTAGCACCAAATCTGGGTTTCTGCCATACCCATTTGCTCTCTTTCTTATCTTATTTGGATTGCCTTCCTAAATCGTCGTTGTTGTCACCAATCAAAACCAAATATATATACACCAAATAAAATAAATATATCCTCTCTCTCTCTCTCACTCTCCTTTCAAATTGTTTCTCATCAAACAAATATATTTAAGTATATATATATCCTTTCAACTTATTTTTCTTGGACATAGCTAGGGATAATTTTGTCTTTTCAAAGTTCATCTTTTTGAAAATAAAATACAATAAATATATTGAGGACATATATGTAATTTTAATTGAACGGTTAACACCATCCACTTGACAATAATAATAGGGGAAGGTTGGTATAATTTGACAAATAGAAAGTCAATGTATATTGAAGAAACTTTAAAAGAGATTAGTGTAATTTTCCCAAACTAATATATAAAAAATGAAGTTATGGAACTCAAATTGAAATGGACTAAAGTAGAACCTTAACTTTTTAGACAAACTATCAAAGCGTGAAATTATTTTTAAACTTGTCAATTTATAAAACTAAACTCGTTAAAAAGCACTTTATTGGAAAGTAAAGATAATTTAAGGAAAGTACAACATTTTGCATTCACATTACCTCAAATTAATTAATACGATCATATATGATTAAATTGATCTTAAAATCACCTTCCTTAATTGCATAAGATATCGAACTAAAAATCACCTCATTTAAATGCCCAAAAAAACATCACTTTTTTAGGGTTTTTTTTTTCCAAACCGGAGTCCAACACAACATGGCGGTCAACCACACCTCCTGAAGAAAGAAAGAAGGTTTCGATATGCTATCTCCCATAAAAGTCCAAAGCTTCCTTTGATGTTCTGAAGACGGCTGGCTCCATTACGCGTCATTCTCGCTTTATTGTAATGATATTGTAATAGTATAGAGAGAACAAAAAATCCAAAATCCACACTCGAAATTCAAACCATACAAAGAAACTTGCTTTTTAAAAGTCGATTTCGTATTTGCCAGTTTTTTTTATTTATTATATGTACAAGCACCTTCGGAGAAATTGTTTATTTTTTTTTCCTTTGGGGAATTTGTCTTGGTCAACTTACCTCGCTTGCGTGCATATTATATTTACAGCTAAAGAGCTCCTTTTTGGTGGATCTGGTCATATATGAAGACCCAAGTGAAGGAATTTCTTGTGGATTCCTTAATCTGGGTCGGTCAATTTTTGGGGTGAAGCGTATTGATTTGAATAATTCAGTTCATTGGAGCTCTTAATCTCTTATTGCTTTATTTTGGTTGGTGGTGGGTATTATTACATCTATTGTGTTTTTGATCCAATATATTCGGCCTCTCGTTGGTAGGGAAATTCTGGTATTTGGTTGATTTTATATGTTAGATGCCAAGTTTTGAATTTTTATCTGAAATTTTTTGGTGGGTCAGCAACAATTTATGTTAGAGGTCTATGGTTGGGACATTTGAAGGGCTTTCCTGAGAAAAAATCGAATTGGGTCGTTGATAAATGCTGAAAAGATTGCAACCTTTTGTGTGTTCTGGGTTGGTGAGTGCTTTCTAGGGTTTATTGGTGGAGATTTGAGGAATAGAACATACAGAGGTTTTGGGTTTCTTTGAGAGTGTTGTTGGTATTGATGAAATGAAAAGTACAACCTGGGTTTGTGACGCTGACTTAAGAACAAATGGGTTCCAGGAGAGTTGTTTGTTTCATTGCATTTGTCCTGCTTATCATTTTCGCAGCGGCAGGTTCAGAAGGCAGGAAGAAGATCAATGACCTAGTTTCCGGCGACCGAATTGATTCATATTCTTTGGAGATAAATGAGGACATGGTAGTACACTTTTACTTCAAATTTGAGCGTTAAATTAACTGTTTCATATTGCAATTTGGTTCATTTTATTTTCCCAATTACTTGTTTTTTCTGGGATGATCATTTTCTTTTTGGCTTCTTTAAGTAGCATAACTTGTATGAGGGTAGGCTAAGCACTTCTCTTTTTTTCTTATTTGTGCTAATAGACTACAAAGCTATGTTGATGAAACTTTAGATATGTAATCTACAAATGAACACGCGTCTATGATGGAGCCAATAATATTACAATTTCCGCCGTCTAACAGTAACACTTATTTCCTATACTAGTTCTAGCATTATTGCTCTAGCATTCTTCCTACTTTCCTGCTCTTGTATCAATAGTCCCTTTTCTTTGAATGAGTAAATTTTTTATATTAAAAACAGGTGCCAAAGAGGGCACTGCACACGGACATGCAGGTATACTGGAGGAGCAACTGAGTTCCTCTATGCAAACTTAAATCATGAAGTTTAACGGATCTATTATTATTAATTTGTTTTTTTGAAGAGTTCAAATTTTGAAATAATTCAACACTTATTGTTTTTAACTTATGGACTGGCATCGTTACATCTTCAAGGTGTGCCAAGACTCAGGAAACTTCTACCTAGTATAGCCTTGAAGCCCACAATCAACCTTTCAATTGGTCATGGCACCATAAATCCAGGAATTTTTTCTTAAGATGCTTACTGGTATTAGATTCCGGTTAAGTGAACTTCGTTTAGGAGGAGTTCTGTGGCTCAAGCCCCAAAAGAAGTAAACAGAGCTGTTCATTGTGTTACTGCTTCATTGAACAAACTCTTCTTCATACCCCAATTGGGCTTCAGACCTCTCCATGTTCTCTTTAATCTTGACAAGATGGAAAACTTGCTCAGTTTTAAATATCCTTGTCATCTTTGCTTGATTTTTCTAATGTCCAAACGAATTAACCATAAATATTGATTAGTTGAGGAAACAAGTATCAATGTAGGGTGTAGATACTAGGGATTTCCAGGTGAAAATTTGTATTTTCTGTCTGATGTAAGACTTAAATTCATATTCTGAAAATATATTGCTGAATCTACTGAAAATGGGAAATGCAAGAATATATATATATATATATATATATATATATATATATAAAGGATTTATTTCTGTAATTTAATGATTGCTTGCACCGGCCTTCACTGAGAAGTTTACTATCTTTCAACTGCTTTATCATACATCAACACCTTGTTCTGAGCACACAAGAAGATTTATTTTTTTTCATCTGTGTGTTCACAATCAGACTTTTAGAAGTTAGTAACCTTCTGGGTGGAGTTATGCGAGTATATGCGGAGTATATAAGTGAAACCATGCACCAAAGGCTGTGGCCTAGTGCTACTGCCTCGCCTTCAAAGTAGAATGTCGAAGGTTCAAGTCCTTGCAGGGACAAGTTGGGTGTGTGTGTTTCTTGCCAATGAAAAAGAAAAAGAAAAAGAAAAAGAAAGTGAAACCCTGCTCTGGCCTTCACTCAGAAGTTTTCTATCTTTCAACTGCTTTGTCATACATACTCATTTCCCTTTCATCTTTTTTAAAGTTTCAACATCCCTTGTTTGTGAACTTTCAAGTTCTTTTCTTACTGCTAGATAATCTTTTATCCAATTTTATTCTTGTATGACATAATTTATACATACATGTAGGGATTATAGCCTGTTGAGTTGTGTTCTGCTACATCTTTTGGGAACAACTCTATTAGTAACAGAAATGACAAATTTGGTATTTTTATATATATTACTAACTTGTTGTTGATGGTCCTTACCCAAAAAAAAATGTTATCATTGATGGTGATGTACCATTCAAATTAATATATCATATTCCATGAAGCGATCCTTCTGGCAAGCTTTGGAAGATAACCCTAGTGTGGATTTTAAAATGCTAGTTGTACTTGTACTTTAGTATGCAAAAAGACTGAAATCAGTTGAAATTTCTTGCTGCAGGCAGAGCTATTATGGGCCAATTGTAGGCTAGAGTTGATTCATGCAAAGGAAGCTGTTGAAGACCTTGAATCATATGTCCCAGAGGAGAAGTCCAGTAGCAGCAACAAAATCATTTTAGAAAGTAGATCATTGACAAAAGAAAACATACAGAAATTTATTGGTGTCCTACATCCCCAGGTAAAGCGAACGCTGTTGGGTTGTTTAAGAAAGAAAAATATACTCCCCGTTGTCACTGGGGAAGAGAGTGGCTCTAAGAATTGGTACACCAAGTATGTGGAGTCCCTGCTTGCCAGGCCTGATTCTCCTAGTCGACGTGAATTGGTTCAGAGTCTTGCAAAAGCACCTGCTTCTGCTCCTGCTCCTGCTCCATCCCCTGCGGTTCTTAGTCCTGCTCCATCCTCTCGTCCTCAGGTTCCTAGTTCTCAGCGCCCTGCTGCATCTCCAGCACAACCATTTTTCCCTTCAAATGTAAATGATTCAAGTCTGCAGCCTACAGCTGGTGGACATTCTTCTGCAAGTACAGATTCTGCTACAACAGTACAGTCAAATAAGAAAAATAGTATCCATAAACCAGTTATTATTGCAGTTGTTGTAACTGCAGCAGTGACATTTGTTATTATGGTGCTACTCTTTTTGTGCTATACTAAGACCTGTAGAACTGGCTCTGGAGCTGGGCGAAATGATGAGAGGCCTCTTCTCAGCTTAAGCTTAAGTGACTATTCTAATGGTATATATATATGTATATAAATTCTCTCACTCTTTATTGTTATAAATTTCATATGCAAATTGCCGTTCAGATTTGAGTAAAAGATTTTGATCTTTCAGGTTCTTCACAGAAGTCATTTGCTTTAGGAAATTCAATTAACAAAGAGAAGCTTGGTAATCAGTCAATTCAGACCAATTCAAATCCTAACAAATGGGCCTCACCATTGGATGAAACCCTGACAGTTGTTACTGTTGCTGGTGCTACCAATATCTCAGCGGAGGACTCTGCACAGCAACCACCGGCTCTGAAACTCCCTCCTGGGAGGTTGGCAACTTCTCTGAAGCGCCCCCCTCTTCCTCCTGGACGGGCAGATCTCCCATCTCCTGAATCGCCTTCCATAAATCCTCCTCCTGGCAGGAACGTTCCTCCCCCTCCTCCTCCTCCTGTAATGCCGTCCTCTCTGAAACCTTCTGGCAGCCCATGTCCTCCGCCTCCAGGACCTCCTCCTCCACCTATACCTTCTGGCATCAACACTGGTCCTCGACCACCACCACCACCTCCAAAAAGTGGTCTTCCTCCACCCCGGCCACCTGCCATAGGCTCAAAGCTACCTCGACCTTCACCTCTTGGACCGAATCATCCTTCAGAAGGTGATGAAGCCGGTGTTCCTAAAGCAAAACTAAAGCCATTTTTCTGGGACAAGGTTCTAGCCAACCCTGATCATTCAATGGTTTGGCATCAGATAAAATCAGGGTCATTCCAGTAAGTTTGTCACTCCCTTTTTTGCCCTTTATTATTTTTTTGCTTTTTATTTTTTGTGTGTGTGCACTCGTTTTTCTTTCCTTTTCCTTTTTATTGTTCTTTAGTGTTGGTCATGAACATCTCTAGCTGCCAAGAATATGACTAACGTGTTTATCTAAATGTTACAGGTTTAATGAAGAAATGATAGAAACACTATTTGGGGCTGCCCCTGCTGATAAAAACAAAAATGGGCCCAAGAAAGGGTCTTCATCCCAAGATCCTTCAACTCAGTATATCCAAATCATTGATTCAAAAAAGGCGCAAAATATATCAATTCTTTTAAAAGCATTAAACGTGACAACAGAAGAAGTTTGTGATGCACTTCAAGAAGGTTCTCTCTCTCTCCCCCCCCTTATGTTCTGCTGTTAGCGTATCTGTTTTGGTTCATAGTTGATGCATTTTGGTTTATTATTCCAAGACAAACGCACAAATAATCAATTAAAGACATGTATTTGTAAAGCACAATTTTGGGAATATGTTGGTAAATTTTGTACTGGTCGGAAAAATATATATATATAAATAACATGCTGTAGCACAAATTATAATTGCTAAATTTTAGTTCTAATTTGCAAAGGGTGTAAGTAGGATATTGAAAGATTTAGAGTTAATGTGGAAAAATATTTCAAAAGTTAGAGTTAACGGTCTTTATTAAAATTTGATAAGATTTATTGGTGATTGAAACATAGTTCTGTCATTTTCAAAGATGCTTCATGATTTGTGCAGTACCATCAGTTTCTGTTGGGAAACTGGATCCTTCTTGTGGAGAACAAAAATTAACTATGATATTGTGCACATGGTTTTAGAATTTTTTGCAACATGTTTATTAGGCCATAACCAATAGGATTTAACAAAACAACATTATGCACAAATGTGGACCGGAGATGCTAAATTTTTTTAAGTTAATCTATTGACTAATATCCAACTACAAAATTGGGGAAAAAAGATTTTTTTTTTTTTTTTTGGTATGAGGGAAACAGAAAATATAATTCAGAAGCAAGAATATACAATATGCCTGGATGTCATTCATCAGGCATTAGTGGGTTGATATGCAGTAAAATCTTGGTGTGTCATTTTGATGCTTTTTCTTAGCTGTGGAGTTCTCTGTAGTACTTCTTTGCAGATTCCAACACACCAAAGGCAGTGTCTAATTTATCTTAGTTGTATCAGGGAATGAGCTTTCATCAGAGCTCCTTCAAACTTTGTTAAAGATGGAACCAACAGCAGAAGAAGAACTAAAGCTAAGGCTTTTTAGTGGTGAACTTTCTCGGCTTGGACCTGCTGAGCGTTTCATGAAAGTCTTGGTTGACATCCCATTTGCTTTCAAAAGGCTGGAATCATTGCTTTTCATGTGCACTCTTCAGGAGGAAATTTCGATGATTAAGGAGTCCTTTGTGACCTTAGAGGTGAGTCATTGCTCTGAATTCCATCACTTAATTTTTTGTCTCTGAGGTTGTAGCAATTTTTCCCTCAAAGTTTTATCATTAATATTTGATGTTGACTGTTAATTATTTAAAGCATAAGAGAGTAAGGGTTCTCCTGTCTTTTAAAAAAAAAAAAAATTTAATTGATTAATTTCTGGTGTTAAAATGATCTTTTATTTGTTTTCATTTGTTTTATTTTTGGTCGGAGGTACTCTGCTGTACTTAGCTTAGATGTTAACCTTTCTCCGCTTAATTATGAAGAAAAAGGACACTTTTTTTTCTCCCCCAAATAAATTAAGTCAACAAAAAATAAAAATAAAAAAAGCATCATTTAAAACTATTGCAAAGGAACAGGAACAATTATTTTTTACCTGAACTGATTGGGTAGGTAAACTGTCCTTGTTAAATAAGCAAAGCTTAATTGCTTAGCGTAACAGCAGCAGAAACAATAATAAATAGCAAGAAAGGGTCTACAGAATATAACTTAAGGTATAATCTAATTGTCAATATAAAAATTGATTCTAACTCTCTAGGGAATCTATATTAATGATAAAATTGAACATCAACAAATATGATATAATCTAATTACACATATGGAAACTGATTAAAAATCCCTAGAAAAATCCAAAATAATGATAAAACCAAAACTGAAATATTAACAAGAAAAGAGTGAACATTAGGAAACAATTTCCCAGAAAATCTCCAATGGGTTCGAATGTTTGAAACCATTGGTTTGAGTGTTTCCTTCATATATTACAAAAAATTATTTAGCATTTCAATCAAAGCTGCCAAACATGTAATTCATATGTGAACTTTGGTCAAGTTTCTTGAAAAAAGTTCACAAAGGATATCATGTTTTTATGTTGTAAAGCCTTCCATTTGTTGGTCTTCCTACACCCGCCCCGCCCCCCCCCCCCCCCCCCCCCAACACACACACAAAAAAAAAAAAAAAAACCCTCGTTTTAGACCATGCTCCCAAAAGTCAGTTTCTTCTAAAGACAAAAAAAGAAAGAAAGAAAGACAAGAACAATCCAAGGGGAGTCAAGTTTGTAATTTAGTAGGCATGGCCGGGCTCATGTAGAGGTAAAAGATGTTCAAGAAGTGAGTTGGTGAAAAGAAACTTGTCATACTTCCATTGCTTTAAATTCAAAATTAGAATTTTATAGATCAGAAATGTATTTGTTTCGGTCCTACAGCAATGGGCTACACAAAGAGGGGTAATCCTCCCCTTCCCATAAGCCCCTCGAACCCGGATTTAGATGGGATCCGATCTCAAGCCTGGTATGATTACCAAGAGATCTCACTAGCTAGCCCAGGTGTTACCTTCTAGAAGTCAAAATGTCAAGTACCTAAAAAAGAAAACAAAAAGATTTTGTGACACTGATTTTTTATTATTTATTTTTTTCAGAAGTGATTTTGTTACAGTGATGTTTAAGGTAAGCCAAGTGTTAGGTTCGTGCCATGGCAATGTACTTTTTTGTATTATTTAATATGTTCTCTTCTTGTGACACAATTGACAGCGACATTTCTTGAATAGCGAGTAGTCTTAGGAGCAAGATGAACTTGCAAATTACGTGCTACTTAATCTGAGTTGGGTCCTGTTTTGCTCCACTTGCTTAACAGAATAAGATTTAGAAGGCGGCTTTTAGATCAGTTCATATATTAATTAACAAGTTTCAAAAAGCCGAGGGGTAATCTAAGTAAGTCCAAGCTGTTCACGATCAGCTTGTCATTTGTATCCTTGTATGATCTATACAGAATTGGCATAAAATGAAACAGAAAGTGGATGGGTTGGTACCACCGGAAACTCTGGATAGGGAAAGAATTTGTTTCTTCTTACATTTATGCATGTGTTCATTTGTGTATTTAATGCGTCGTGTATATGTGTTTTATGAATAGATAAAATAAGAGAATCTGAGAATGATGTACACACAGTCACAGCTTATCATGTTACTCATTTATCAGTTCTGCATTTGACATAATCCGACTGTAGTTCCATTTCATGCATTTGAAATTTGTATTTAATGTCTGATTTTCATGCTATCTCTGGTTTATGCTGCAGGCTGCTTGCACAGAACTCAGACAAAGCCGGTTGTTCCTCAAACTCCTGGAAGCTGTTCTCAAAACTGGCAATCGCATGAATGACGGAACATTTCGTGGAGGTGCACAAGCATTCAAGCTTGACACACTTTTAAAATTATCGGATGTGAAAGGCGTAGATGGAAAGACCACACTACTGAACTTTGTTGTTCTAGAGATAATCCGCTCAGAAGGTGTACGAGCTGCCCGTGTAGCCAGAGAAAACCAGAGTGTGTCTATCATCAAGTCTGATAATCTCAAGGACTCTTCCCATGATTCAGAAGAACAATACCGCAGTCTAGGTCTTCAGGTGGTTTCAGGCTTGGTTGATGAGCTTGTGAATGTCAAGAAAGCTGCAGTTTTGGATTCTGATATCTTAACTGGAACTGTTGCTAAACTTGGTCAAACACTCGTAAAAACCCGAAATTTCCTAAACTCAGATATGAAGAGTATAGATGAAGAAAATGGGTTCCACAAAATTCTAAAAGATTTTGTACAGAATGCTGGGATTGACATCACGTGGTTGCTTGAGGAAGAAAAGAGAATAATGGCTTTGGTGAAGAGCACGGCAGATTACTTTCATGGGAACGCTGGGAAGGAGGAGGGCTTGCGATTATTTGTTGTTGTTCGGGATTTCCTGATAATGTTAGGTAAGGCTTGCAAAGAGGTGAAAGATACTCCCAGGAAGCAAAATAAAATGCCGAGCAAAGTAGGTTCAACAGTGCCACCTTCTTCAGAATCCCGCCAGCCGCCTGCCAATCCTCATCAACGGCTTTTTCCAGCAATTAGAGACCTGCGGATAGATAATTCTAGCTCAGATGACGACAGTTAGTAGATTCTTCTAGGTACAGGTATATGAGATTTTTTCAGTTGTCAAACAATTTTTTTCACTTCTCCTACTCCATTAATTAGTAAGTAACATTTATTAAATTGTTTTTCTCGTCGTACTCAGGTGGCTAAGAGTTTCCTGAGTAGCCAATGAGAGATAGGATGCCTGATTCTTCATTGGCAACAATTGTAGTTGATCAAACGAGGCATTGGTTTGAAAGGGTTCTGAATCCATGATCAGCTCAGGTGCAAAGGTAAATTAGGTCAATCAGACAGGACAGAAGCTAAAACAATGTTATCAACACTTCACCTTCAATGTTTTATGGAGCAAGGGATTTGATCTATGGAGCTACATTTATTTTAACCCTATGAAGCTCCATTGATGTATTACTACTAGTTAGAATGGCTTTTTTGTTGTTATTCATAATCATTTTTTTATACAGTTTTGTTGATAGCTTTTTATGTTTGAAGTTGAAGAAAGTAGCCAGGGTATTGTTTCAGAGTTTAGGGATTGCTCCTCCATTGCCAATGTTAGAATATGTTGTATTGTCACCAGGATTGCTTCTGTCCTTGGGTATCTAGATTTCATTAGTGATGGTGGGAAAATGTATGAAAAAGAAAGAAGTTACTATGGTGGAGATATATATATATATATATTTTTTTTTTAGCTCATTGATGGAAGTTACTGTAGTTAAAGAGATGCTCTACAATGTGTGCTGACTGAATATTATGCAAAAGAAGGGTACAAACTTCTTAGGCCATTTTTTCAACTGGTGGGTTTTGTTCCAACTCAAAATTCAAACTAATTATGAGTATCTTTGTATGACATGGCATGAATCTCAAAAAAGAAAAATAATAATAATAAACACGAGACATTATAATAAAATAACATTTAATATATTAATATATGTATAAATCCTGTCTTTTTTTATAAAAATAAATAAATAAAACTGAAAACTACATGTTCTGAAAAACATATATATTTTACAGCATGCTCCTAATCACATGTCAAGCCACATTACAACAATTCTACAACACTCCTTAACATTTCTGACACCTTCTTGACAACCCTAGAGGAGTGCCTGAGCTTCGTAGTTCTCCCTGTTTTAACTTAATTTTGGTTTTCTTCTTTTCTAATTAGAAAAAAGATAAACAAAAAAATAAAAAATAAAAAGTAGGTTTCCTCATTCTTTACTTAGGCGCCGTTTGGACTAAAAATAATAATAAAATAAAATAAAATAAAATAGTTGAGGTTTAAAATGGTTGTCAAGAACTTGATTCAGGGCAATGTCTGCGCAAGCCTAGTGAGTACTGAGTAATATAATCTTGAAATTAATCGAAGGCTAAAGATGGTGGAAGTGGATGCCAAGAACCCTAACTAATTAACGAACTAATTGTAAATGGAGAGCAAACAACTTGCACTTGTCGCCCACTTCCTCCTATAAATAAGATCAAAACGTCACAGAAACTATTCTCTCCCTTCACATTTTCAGTCGTTACTTCTTGAATCTTAATTGCCACTTGAAATTCCATAATGCTTGACGATTCTTTTGTCGTCCAAATTTTGTGTTCTGATGATAGGGCAGAAACCCAAGAAAGCCCACCAATATTTTCTCGAGAAACTGTTCCTCCAGAAGAAGAAGAAGAAAGAAGAGAGAAAACTGACCATCATATTCCAGCTCCTGTTGAACAAGAACAATGTTACCCTGCAACAAACCCCATCACCCAGACCCACACAGCTCTTACCTCTGCCCCTCGTCACCCATCATTCGAATCTCATGGCTGCTTCACTCTTCAAATCATACCCTCCTCTGATGACAATGATAATCATGGTGGTACTGGTAAAGAAGATACAGTATACGACTCTATTATGGTATATATTACCCTTTCTCTCTCTCTCTCTCTCTATATATATATATTTATATAAGTAACGTCTTCTCATGTTTAATTTGTATTTGCCTTGAATCCCAGGAATTTGACAATGAAGAACTCTGCTTCTCCTTTGGCCTCAACGTTGCCTGTGGAACAAGAAGCACAAACTCCGCCATAAAAGGAGATGAACCTCAGAGGAAGAAGAAGGTTCATGACAATGAGGATAATGAGCATCCGAGAAAGGAGGCTACGATCTTGAAGGCCATTCTTGATCACTTCTCCAAGAATGGGACTTATCCATTCTCAGAATTTATTGCTTTTCATGGTTTAATCAAGAGTTCACTAGACGTTGATGTGTCAGCAAGCCAATTGATGAAAGATATCGAGGGGTTGAAGGGGACGTTTGACAAGATAGTGGGAGATCAAAAGGGTTTGGATTTGAACTTTTCAAGAGCCTGTGATCAAGAGGTGTTTGAATTGTCCAAAAAGATATGGGAATGCGAGTCTGAGAATATCAGAGGAATGTCATTGGAGAAGAGATTGGACAAGAGCAAGATTTGTTAATGTTTCCTTTTATCTGAGAGAATCTCTGCTGTTTGGGAATAGCTTCACTGCTTCATTTAGGAGGGAGTATTGTCAAGGAGGAAGTTCTAGGACGATTCTCTAAACTAGGGTTTTTTTTTAATCAGGTATTGATTGATTCAAGAATTTTCAGTATGTTTTCTGTAGAGTGATTGTTATCTTTAACATAGCTGTTAGTACCATTCTTACATTATATGGACAAAATAGACTCAGGAGTATGAACATAAGCCTTCAATCCCAACATTGGGCTTGATATGAAATAGTATGTTCTTAAGATTTCTGTTGATGATGCTATGCTCATTTTAGGTTCATGTTGTCATCTGTTGTTTATTCTAAGCATAAAGCATTAGAATTTTGTTGCAATTAGTTCATTATAATTGGTCCTGCATCATGTTCAACGTGTTCACATTGTTGGTGCGGCAGTCTACTGTGCTGCTGTGTGGTACTTTTTTTTGTTTTACTTTTTGAAACCGTATTCAATACATATCAAAACTTAATTGGAGTTCAGGATTTCTATATAAGTTTAAAAAGAAATAACACTAAATGGAACAAAAACTGTATTAGAAGTAATTAATATCTGTCATTTTAATTTTTTAATTTTGAAAATCTTAAAATGGTTTATGATTAGAAGGAAATGCTGCAGTATTCATGATATCATCAATATCTGAAACCCTTTTCATGAATCTATATGTTAATGCTGATAAGGAATGATTAATTTTGCCATTTCTGGCTATTAGGTTAGGCAGTGATAAGTGTTGTTAATGGCATTCAGATGTGCATATTTCTAGATAGTAGCTCTCTCCCTGCCAATATTTACATGAAAGTTGTCTCTGATTTTTGAGAAATTAGTGCCAATTGATTTCAGAGTTAATTTGGCCCTCTAGAGTGCAATTTGGAAACAAAGTGCTTAAATTGATAGCATCTGTTACAGATTCAATTCTCTTGTACAGGAGAGCTCTGCGGTTACTCTCTTGAGTAGTTTGTAATTTTACTAGTTCTGTTTTCCGGTTTCCTTGTTTGTGTTGCTTTGCTTCATACTCCATAAAACTTAGCAATAAACTCGACATTGGGAGAATCTATGAATCGCCTTTTCCTTCAATGTCAAATACTTAGAAGTTCAGGCTTGTCGGATTGAAGTTTTCACCCCATCACGCACGTCTCCTTTTCTCATTTCCTGATCAAAATTTTTCCACTTTCTCCAGATCTTTTTTCATGCTTTAAGAGCGCGTTTCTGAGATGTTTATGAATTGTAGTAATTGACACTGGTATCAGCAGAGGTAATAGGGAACAGTAATAATTAGAAAAGAGTTTAAACTCGTATGCCTTTTCCAACCCTGCATTTTGACATCACTTATCCTTGGAAATTAGAAGACAATGCTAATTCAAGTTTGAGTATTGTTCTTTAGGTAGAGTATTGGTCATATGGTGTAGACAGCTTTGCTGAATGCTGAATAATGGTTCTCAGATACTATTCACATCTATAGAACTTTCTGTGTAGAGGCTAGTGAAGTAGAAAAGAACCTTCTTTTTCTGCTTTAGAGTGAACTAAAACTGGATTCTACCAGAGATCATGGAAAGCTAATGATCTCAAGTCAATAGTGGAGCTGCTCATTCTTATTTGTTGAGCAATGAAAGACACTTCTACCTAAAAAAAAACCTTAATTGTTGAAATGCTTCAATAAAATAATGTAGTGGCAACATTGACCATAGTGGTCATATTGGATCCTTGAGAACCATCACAAGCATGGCTCCCCTATATTTCAAGCTCTAACATCGGTTGAGGGACACCAGTATTGGAATTGATCAAAAAGTAAGTTCAATTTTTTAAGATGAGATGAAATTTATTTATTCGTTTAAAACGTTTCAAACTGGAAGACATGCAAAAGTAAATCTCTCGTTAAAATATTAATTGTTAAGTAATTTTGAAGATTTATAAAACCAAATATATGTTTGAAATGGAATGACTTGGACCAAGTGATTTTTCGGCCATCCATCAATTTTTCCAATATGAAAGAAACACACAAGATCCAAAGAAGCAAAGATAAATGGAATCATGGAAGCTTGAGGGAGTAAAATATGAGAGTTCTAGTATTTTGGGGTAAAATGAAATTTAGATAAAATATAAGGAATGACTTATAATATACCCTTTTTCCTTTTCACGAACATGAGAGGTCTCTTCTAATCTTTTTCACTTATATGTACTTCTAAGCATCCGACCGTTCACTATTAATCAATCAACGGTCATAGATCTCAATCCTCGTCCTCGCTTTTCATTGGCTGTTTCCACCACACAACACTATATAAATATCGCACAGTCGTAAACAAAATCTCAATCTCTATCTCTATCTCTATCTCAATTCAAAATCTCTCACTTTCACTCTCTCCTCTCTCTCTCTCTCTCTCTACAATGGCCGGAAGAGGAAAGTCTCTGAACTCTGGCGCCGCCAAGAAGTCCACCTCCCGCAGTAGCAAGGCCGGTCTCCAGTTCCCCGTCGGCCGAATCGCTCGCTTCCTCAAAGCCGGCAAGTACGCCGAACGCGTCGGCGCCGGCGCTCCTGTCTACCTCGCCGCCGTCCTTGAATACCTCGCCGCTGAGGTAATTAACGATTCATCAATTACATATATAATATATATGTTTGTTTGAATCTGGATTTGGTTTTTAATGTTGTGCGTGGTTTGGAATATGCAGGTTTTGGAGTTGGCTGGGAATGCGGCGAGAGATAACAAGAAGAGCCGAGTGGTGCCTCGTCACATTCAATTGGCGGTGAGGAACGATGAGGAGCTGAGCAGGTTGCTTGGTGCTGTGACGATTGCGAATGGTGGTGTGATGCCCAACATTCACACTCACTTGTTGCCTAAGAAGGCTGCTAGCGCTGCATCTTCAAAGGCTGAAGATTAGGTTTGGGGTCGACTCTTGTGAAGGATATATACTCTACAAGTTTCAAGATTAGGATCAAATTAGCAGGTTTAGGGTTAGCTTTGATTTTTAGTAGTGTGTATGATACCTTTGCCCAGTTGTTGCCTTGTGTTCATCTTACTTAGAGGTATTTGCAGAATGAAAATTTGAACATTTTCTTATGAAACTATTACTTTTGTGGCTTAAATATTGTTAGCTTTATTTGTTTGTTTGGATTTAATACAAATGGAATACTCTGTTAGGGGCTTTGATAACACTGCTTATTTTTTCTTTAGCCTACTAAACACATTTATTCCCCTTTTTGATCAAAACACATTTTATACTCCAAACATTCCCTTCTCTCTCTCAAGAGTGATATCTAATTTGGGTCAATTTTAAACTTCTTTGCCATGGATGCTAAGGAGGTAGGTTTTTGACCTGGGAAAAAAATCCTAATTTTATTTTTTGTGTAGTTCAGTGAAACTTATGGTGGTTTGAATTTGATTATGGTGTAATGAAATTTTTTTATTTCTGGATCTAGAGTGGTACATTTTGATTTTAGAGTAGAATCTGGATCATTTTTGAAAGGTGGATATGGTTTATCAAGTAACCAAATCAATTATAGGGTTGCAATTGCAAACTGAACTAGGAATGACTACAACTCCTTGTCACCCTCTATTCTTTCATCCCCTCGGTCCAAGTGTGCTACATTTTGATTTTTGGATCCGGTGTTGGTGATTTGAACAGTTTGTTTCATGCCAATTTTTTGTTTTTAACCAAACGTGTTCAATCCGGCTTGATCATTTGCATTTGTTTTAGATTCATTTTTGTTGTAGAATAGACAATTAATGCGAAAGTTTGTTTATTCTTGGACAACCAAGTCCCTTTTGTAAAATTTGTCCTCCAAAAGGAGTTTTAAAATGTGTGAAAAGTTCATTTTACTATTTTATTAAATTTAAGAGTTAAATATAAAAAATTCTCTTGAACTATTAGTTTATTGTAACAAATCCCTCTGAACTATAAAAAAATTCCCTTAAACTATGAAATTATTGCAATTAAGGACATTCCGATGGTAGGGTTGATCGGAAAAATTAAAAAGACAATTTTGCCCTTTCAAAATATAAATTTGGCACTTATATATATATATTTTTTATGATGAAAAAGTTATAATTTTAAGGACCAATTAAAATGGAACAACTCACCTACCAACCCCTCTCCCACTTTCTCTCTCTACAACCGACCATCACCACAAACCCATCTGATGGTTTCTCTCTCTAAGCTCTTTCATTCCCTGTTTGTACACAAACTGATCGTCTCTCTCTCTTCTTCTCCATTTCATGCTCTCTCTCTCTCTACAAACATCAATCCCACCAATACCTAATCTCTCCTATACATATATGTATGTATATATATATATATATATAGGCGCACACAAAGAGAGGGAGATGCATAGGTCTGGGATATATATGCCGGGATATATTTGTTGAACATTGCCAATTATTCATATTCTCAATCAATGGAAAGAGACATGACTAATGAAGCATCTTAATGACAACAGATGATCCCCTTACGGTGAATGTGAAGCCACGGGCAGAACACCTGGGCAGAATTATCAATTAAATGAATCTTTTTTAGTACGGTACTTGGTACTCCTCATTTTTTTTTTTTTTTTTTCCTAAATTACTCGCTTTGCCCTTATAGGCTTAGCCTTTGTGTCGCTAGAACAACGGATGACCATGCTCTCGATTTGGGTTCGCCAAAACAAGTAATTGGGTCTCAATCTGAAATTAAATTCGGCCTCGAGTGTGAAGACGGAAAGGGGGTGTGTCTCCGGCGAGGTTAGGGTTCCGACGAGGAGCGTGTGCGTCGGCTGACAGGAGTAGTGTGGTACTGTTTGGGTTTCACTCTCTCTAATTGGGGCTTCAAATACTATGTTTCATTCAAACCCACTTCTGAATTTGATGATCTATCTCTATATTCATATGACCCATTGCCGAATCAATTGTTTTTTCTCCTCCGAAAATTTTTTGATTCTCCGGACAAATTGTGATGGATGAATTACATTCCAAATATAGATGTGTGTGTGTATATATATATATATATATATATAGAGAGAGAGAGAGAGAGAGAGAGAGAGAGGGAACCATAGAGAGATTTAGGTCGACAATATATTATTTATTTGTTTATTTTACCATAAAGACAAGAATAAGATGAACAGTACATCTATACGTATATATATGTATGCATCTGTGCATATAGAACATAAGGGCGTGTTTGGATAAAAAAGTAAGTTAAAGAGAGGTTGGGATGCAAGGAGGATAATAGAGTCTTTTCATGCCTTTAAAGGGCATTATAGTCATTAAATTAAATATTGTGGATTTAACGGTGAGATTCCACCGGAGCATTGCCGGAAGGAGTCATCTGTAACAAAAATGTATAGTTTAGGGGATTTCTTGCAACTTTTGTAGTTTAGGGGGGTTTGTTGCAAATTTGTCAATAGTTCAGGGGGGTTTTTTGCATTTAACCCCTAAATTTAATTATAAAATATTAAAATACTTAAATGACCAAATTACCCTAAGCACCCTATTCTCTCATCTCTCTGTTATCTCTTCCTTCATCCTTCCATTTTTTCTTTATTATATATGCACACACACACACACACACACACACACACACACACACACACATATATATAAAGATACATACATGTATATATCCACACACACATAAGGCGGCGACGACGGCAAGCTGTCGTTCTTGGGTTTGAGGTCACGGTAGACGATGCCCATAGTATGGAGGTGTTCGAGAGCGCAGACGATCTTGGTAGAGGGTGGCGGGAAGTTTGCCGTTTTTTACGGCGAGTCTAACGGCGAAAACGGCTCTGGGGCTCTATGGGTCGATGGAATTGAAGGCGGGCCGCAGATCTAGCGTCGGCTAGTCGTTGATGTAGAAGGGGAGGATGACGATGACGCCGAATGTGGAGGAGAGGCGGCTTGCCATCCTCATTGCCGCTTGTCGAACAGCAGAGGCGATGGCCACTTTAGCCTCCTCGGCCTTGCAGGCGACACTCGTTGTGCTCATCTGAACTTTCTAAACCTCGCTTCACTGTCAGTCCGTGGCCGCTTCGTCATCGGAGCTTGGTCTTCGCCAGTAATTTCAGTCTCAGAGTCCATGTTAACCGTTCTGTTTTGATCGTCCTTGCTCGTTGATTTTATCGCTATTCAGATCCTTACTCTCCACATGGGGAAGCTTGATGGTGTCACAGGTGAAAAAAATTCATGCCCATGTTGTTGAATTTGGATTTTGTGATGATATTCACGGTTGGGTGACAGAGCTGGGTGGTTGTCGAAAATTGCAGGTATCCAATTGAGCACCTAATCAAAAGACCTAATTTCATATTGTTTGGATTTTGAGTTGTTGGGTTTTACTATAAAAAAGTTGTGGGTATATGTGTGTAATTTGAACCCCTCTGTGTGTTTGTATATATATATATATATATGTATGTATGTATGTATGTATGGCTTTGTGTGGTGGCGGTGGAACGGTGGAGGGGAATAGACTGTTCTTTTTTTTTTTCTTTTTTCTTTTTTTAATGCATAAATTGTATATGAGGGTAGATTGGTCCAATTTATTATCAAAGGGTAATTTGGTCAATTTCTCATGTCAGGGGTGTCTTTGTCCATTTTTGAACCTTCAAAGGGTGTTTTTATCCAAAAACCATGTAAGTTTCACCTGTATGTCCTTTTGGCAAACCTGAGGAGGTGTTTTTTTTTTGAGTTTTGGAGACTACAAGAACCAGCACTGTCCAATTTTGTCCATATCAAGCATATACATTCGTCAAATCGAAAATTAATTTTAATAAGGGTAAATTACACCCAACTCTCTTGAAATTTGGACAAATCACACATGCATGTGACTATTTGTAACAGGTGGGTGTTTATCCATTTACCCAAAATGTCAAGTTATTGGATAGTGCTGATACTCACATCCCCATGTCCATTTATACCCAATCACTTTTATATCCGGATCCGATGTGAGACAAATTAATGACTCTTGTAACATTCTCCCCCACCTGAACTCGCAATGCCCTCGTTGTAGTCGGGCCACCCTGTCTACCTGGTGTGATATCGGACCAAGAACTGGGTCTGGTTCTGATACCAATTGTAACGGATGGGCGCTTGCCCATTTACCTAAAAGTTCAAGATGTTGGGTAGTGCTGTATACCCACCGATTTATACCCAATCACTTTCCCATCTGGATCTAATATAGGACAAATGACCTTTGTAACACTATTACAGAAACCTTCCCTAAACTCCTAGACCTAGGATCTTGAGAGTGAAATGTCAACAATGCCCTTAAATTATATAATATATTATATTGAAATTTATGTTAAACTAAAAAGACTTTTAAGTCCTTGAATGTGTAATGATGCTTCGTGTCATAATGCAAGTGCAAAGGACTCTTTGTTCTCTCTCTATAGTTACATCTTAGAAAATTTAAAAAATAAATAGGGTAAAGTATAGCCATACCTCTGAGGTTTGCCAATAGGACACACAATGAAACTTACCTATTTTTTGGATAAATACACCCCTTATACAAAACCCCAACCAAACAAGGTCTTAAATCCTCTGAAAAGACGAAATTACCCCTCAATATTAAAATCAAATTTATTATAAAATATCAGATATAGTAAAAAGACACAATTACCCTCAGTTTATTTCAGCCACAATTTGGCTGCCAAATGGCACCAGAGTAGACCACCCATCCCACCTATTCCAACTAACCCCGTTCTATTTCCCTAATTTGTAACCTCTTTCATTAATTATCTAACCAAACCACCTTCTTCCCCCCTCCCCCCCACACGTTGCTAGAGCTTTAGTCTACTTACTCGAGGTGTTGCCGTATATATATGGAGAGAGAGAGAAAAAAAAAGAGGGCAATGGCAGTGGCGGTTGTCCAGACCATCGTCGCCGCCATCTGGTCCATTGAGAGAGAGATAGAGAAGGTATTAGTTATTGAGAGAGAATAAAATGTTTTTTTTTTTAATTTTTTTTATGCATAAATTGTTTATGAGGGTAGTTTGGTCCAATTTATTAAATTGTAAAATTAAAAAAGTCACTTAAACAGTCAAAGGGTAATTTGGTCAATTTCTCATATCAGGGGTGTCTTTGTCCATTTTTGAACCTTCAAGACTGTTTTTGTCCAAAA